TCATACCAGATTGACAGATCTGTATTTATAGTTAGAATCTTTACTTTCACTAGTGTATACATTGAATTTATATTAGAGTTAAAAAGACAAGAGAGTTGTATAATGTATTCTGTGAAAAATTAACTTTTGACTTAACATGAAACTTTTTTTGTTTCCTAGCAAAATATTATTTTCCTAGCAAGACCATTTATTTCATATAGATACAGCCTTCTAGTCTTCCCTTTTGATTTTATAATTTTTTGTTGTTATATTACAAAAGAATTGCATTCTCTTTCATTCCCTTCACAAAATAATGACTTTTTAGTCAATAGTCAGAAATTTGGGCCTATTGAAAAATACCAGATCACAAATGCTCTAGGACTGGCCTAACATTGACATTAAATTGCATTTTATTTCTAAAGAAATTGAGCTCTCCTGTTAGTAAGTGGTGATGGTAACATAATCCCCGTAATTCTACATGCTTAAGGTGGCTGAACACACTATAACCTTCCTTTTCCACTGAAATTCAGGACAAGGTATTTATTGTTATTACCACACTACAAATCTGACTCATGCTTACCTCATATCCCCAAGTCTGCATCAGAAGCATTTCTAGGGAACTGGGAAGCAACTTTGCAAATGTTTTGCACCAGCAGGTGAGTTTAAAGTGACCACTTCAACCTACTTTTTTGCTTAAACTTGATACCAGAGTTTTCAACCTGAAGTACTGAATCAGCTTCATCAAACTGCATGTAGGGAAGTTTACATTTGAATGTAATCTGGAATTGATACTCCACAAGCAAAATATATAGAGTGTGTCTTTACCATGATGTGAATATTCTATAGAGTCTAAGCACAAAAGGCTTTGCTCCAACTCCATCATATTTTAGAAAAAAAAATCTAGCTAAGGGGTGCAAAAAGAAATCAAGCAGGGCTTCCAGCCTTTGCTTAACAGAAAACACAAACCTGACACGATCTGTCACAGTATATTTTAACTGGACAGAAACTAGGAAAGACAAACGTGAGAAAAGGTCATCATGTCACTTAAGCCATATAGGAGGAGATGAACATCCCAAGGTGGTGAGCACAGTATAAGAAGTTGAAGATGGCAGAATTTTGTTAGGCTCTTCTATCTAATATCTATAGGTCAAACCCAATACTACTTTGTGTAAGGTTCCATTCAAAAATATATTAACTTTTTAGTTGAGAACATGGAAGGAAATTAGTAGTTCTGATGATCCTAGCACAACATGGGAAATAATGCTGGATAACTAAGCCTCTGTTTATGGAGAAAAATACCTTTGAAGTTTTACTATATAGGCACATACAATCATTCAGATGCTGAGAGGCTTGAACTCTCCCATCCAAATGCATCCAAAGGGGAATATCAGACCTCTTAATACTCATTAAAAAGCCAGGCCCTTGGGAAGCAAAGCACTCCCAGGAACTCGGAGGGGGTTAAGTGAACTCTGAAAGCTTCTGAGACTCTTCCTTTCCTTTTTACAGAACTGAAAGTGTAGGAGACAGAGAGAAAGGCTCTGAGTTCTAGCATTGTTCTCCCCAGCTCCCTGGAAGAACTGCTGACAGTTCCTTGTCCACCAGGAAGTTTGCAGAGGAGGAAAAGGAAGAAGGTCCCAATACGTCCTTTCTTTCTCTTGCTTCTTCATGCACCCTTCACTTCCTTAATGTCTTATTCCTCACACTCAGAACATCAGAAGAAGACAGTTCTAAGAATCATAAATCACAGTGAAAGAACACAGCTCCAGAAGGAAGGTTTTGAGACCTCAGGTGTATTTTCAGTAACTTACAAACGTATCCTAAATAATGGAGGAGTAATTAGCAAAACTTCTGCTGGCTTTAGTGAGAGCAGAATTTTGCCTTCAACCTCTCAAATCCCAAAAATGTACTATCATGTTTACTTCAGGGCCCTCAGGAAACCCTGCAATATCAATGCTAATCTTGAATTGCAGAACTTCTCCATATCAACACTATTTCATGGAGGCTGATACCTCCTTCTACCTCCCCTCAGAGGCTCTGAACAAGAAATGCTCCCCTGGATTTGGAACTTGATCTTGTCTCTTACTTTATTACATAACTTAAAAAAATTTTATTTCCTCTTTTTCGAACCTAAGAAGGCACTGAAGTTAATAGTTAAAATAATGTGATATGCTGTGATTTGGGCCAGAATGGATTTGTCCTCTCTGACAAAAGTTTCAGGTAAGAACTATTTAAAGATTGAGGCTTTTATTCATCCACTGGGTGTAGCTGGGGATTGTTAGGTTGAATTCAAAACGGGCCACAGACATTCTTTCGTCATCTGGATTGTTGTTGATCTGCACTTAACTTATATAAACGATGTGCAATTCACAGAAAAAGGCTCCTTCTGACCCATTCTGTGTTCTGTAGCCATCTCACTCTGAAAATGCTTTTATTTCAAGTAGCTGGGAGAGAAAAACCTTCCTAACTTTGAAGTGGGTTTTATTGCTAGGAGAGAGAAGAGAGAGAGAGCATGAGTGAAAGTGAAATCCCATTTCATTTTTAAAGTTAACGGTAAAGTTTTAATTAGGTCCTCTGAACAAGGATTCTGTGAGGCTTTGTGTTTAAGAGTTAGCAATAGATCCACAGACTTCCATCTTAAAGTTCAGTTGACAAAGGCCAATACAACTCTTTACTTTGTAACTATGTTACCATTTATGTTTGAGGTGAAGATGTTAATATGGAAATTTTGTGAGCTGGGAACGACTACGAACTCTATAATCATAATTTATGACCTTTCATCTGAGGCCAAATGTAAAGGCAATTGCAATTGTTCTTTATCTCAAGGCCAGCACATAGCAGATGTGTGAAATTTGGAGTGCTAGACATAAACTTTTATTACCAAATTATAAATAATTTCTACCACTTACAATGTTCACCTTTCAAGTTCATCTTGATTAAAACACAAGGGCAGCATCTCACTGATTTCTATGAGTTACATAGCTGAAAAAGCTCTACCATGGTACATTAGGAAAGGATAAAGCAATGCAGTATTTAAAACAATCTACTGACATCCAGGTATGCAACATTTTAGATCAAAATACTTTTTCATCTAGAGGACAAACAAACAAAAGATAATCATTAGCCAATGACATCTGAATTCTATTTTCACTTTTGGAGATTTGGAATCCTTAAGGATTCCATTTAAGGCTAATTTACCTCTAGGAACAGCACATGAGATGGCACTTTGAGACCTCTGGCACACCAAGGAAAATTACCCAAGATTTGGGTTCATGACTTGGTCTCAAACTGTGGAAGAAAGGAGCTAAGGATACAGAACTCACCAGTCTCAATGCCCAGGATTCAAATCTGATGTGTTTGTGAGGTTCACAGGCTGTGAAGCAGGAAAGTACATGGATTTTGTTGACTGACAGCAGACAATCAAGGTATCCACACATGTAGAAACTGTAATTAAGTGTAAGCCTCAGCTAGCTAGAAAGCAGCCTATTAAGCAGAAAGCAAAACAGCTCATCAATTTCTGATGCGCAAAAAAAACCAACCAACCAAAAAAAAAAAAACAAGCTCTGAAGGCAAACTTGTAAGAAATAAAACAAAGAGGAAGGCTCACAAAACAAGGTGTCCCTGGTTGGATTCGCAAAATTGCCATGAAAATTTACCAGCCCAGACAGGAAAGTTTTATTTGCCCAATCTTTATACTGGAGATTGATAACAATGAAAACAGAAATATTCCCTTATCAAAGCATTACTCACTGAAGCCAGGAATCCAAATAAAACTTTTCAAGTCTGCTCCCTGGAGTAACTACTTTATGTTCCTTTTCTGCTTCAAATACTAGATATAATCAAGCACAGTTGGATGCTCCTGATTAACATGACGGTTGCCTGGAAACACAGGCACAGTGTGGCCAAACTTCCCTGTCGCTGCCTGTGCTTGAACTCTGGGACAGGCAGGTGAATAAGGTCGGGTTTGCAGCTCTTGCCTCTTAAAAGCCTTTTAGTCTAAGCATTGGAGAAAAAAATGTTACTGGACACGTGTTCAAAAAGAGAAGATAAATAACTCCAGAAAGAAGTGAGAATACAAATCTGTGTTCTGAAAAGCCATGGTACATTTTCTTTGTATCATGAGAATTGAGAGGCTTGACAAGTACTAAATCAATACTGGACAGATAAAAAACCCAACAAAACAAAGCAGTCCAGAAGCTTTCACAGATTATTAACTCTGTCACAGTACAAAATCTTAAAAAAAAAAAAAAAAGAAAAAAAAAAAAAAAAAAAAAAAAGAAAAAGGAAGTATTTGAAGTATTTTCCAGACATCAGGGGATAGCTGGGAGAAAGGAGGAAAAACAAGTGAGATGATGGGGAGAAGCAGAAGAGTAGAAGGTGAGTTCAGTTTCTTCTTGTGCCAAGTTATTCCAATGACCTTCAGCACTTCCCTGTCTGGTCCTGGACAGATGCCTGTGAGATGCTCACCCTGTCTCTGATAAGGACAAGATCATTTGGGAATTAACAGGGTCTCATTAGAATAGAATATAATAATGAGTACCGTATTGGACATTAGGAAGAATTCCTTCACGGAAGGGGTGATTGGACATTGGAATGGGCTGCTCAGGGAGATGGTGGGGTCACCATCCCTGGAGGAGACTGGAAAGCAAAGCCTGGAAGCGGCCCTCATTTGGGCACTCGCTTGGACTCGATGATCTCTGAGGCCTTTCCCAACTTAACTGATCCTGTGCGGTTTTTTCCCACAAGACATCCTATAAATCGTACACACTGCAAGGTTTCTCTCCGACGGGGCGTTATTTCGTGCGGAATCCCAGTCAAGCCATAAAAAACCCCGCCCCGCCGTGAAGGGGCCGGGCTCACCCCCCGCCACACCCCGGGGCCGGGCCAGACCCCTGAGGGGCGCGCCCAGCCCGGGCCCGCCCGCCTTCGACCTGCGCGGGCTGTCCCGCCCGGCCGCCGTAGCGAGGCGGGGCGGCGTGGGGCGGGAAGCGCCGGGAGAGGCGGCGGCGGTGAGTGCGGGCTCGGCTGGGGCCGTGCGTGTGTCCCCGGCTGGTCTGTCACGGAGCAGCCTGTGCCCCCGGGCTGGTTTGCCGTGGAACGCGAGGGTTCCGCGCGGGGGGAGCGGCTGCAGACGCGTGTGCGGTCCGGGAACGGGGCGCAGCCCTGGGCGCCAGCATCGCTGGTGGCGGTGGGTGTCGGTAGGGAAGCAGTGAGGATCCCTGGGCTCACGGCTGGATTTGCCCCAGGAAGCAGCGAAATGAAGCCGGCACCGTGCGGGTTTTCTGCCCTTGGCTCAAAAGGCAGAACAAAGCGATGTTAGAGCAGAAGTCAAGCGAGTACTGAGAGGGATCTTGCACCAAACTGGGTGCGCCTGCTGCGTTTTTAAATCGCAGCATCTTTTCTCTGTAATTTAATCACAAGCCTTAACTTAGTCTGTTTTATTATCTGAAGGCATGCTTTTAAATTTATGCTTTTCTTTTATTAGTGAACTGAGGTCAAAGCTACTCTTGCTGTTGTCGCACAGACTTCCGTGTATAGAGAGCATGGATGGACTTCTCCCTCTACCCTTAAAGACATGAGCACCTATTTATGGCTTAGTCCTCTAAAATCATTTTAGCAAAACGTTTTAGGGATGGTGAGGCCTTTGGCACTGTTGAAATTTAAAAGCTGCACAGTGTGGCAAACAGGATTCTTAGTATTGCTTTCAGGAGGAGTAAAAATGCCAAAGGGAAAGTGGAATGCAATGGCTTTAGGAGCTCTGTCTCCCCACCCCAACCTTTAAAGTTTTGCTTTAATCTCTTTCAGTATTTTCTCCTGTGGAAAGTATTACAAATCAGGGTTCTTCTTGTCTGTATCGAGTATTTAAAACAATGTGGAGGCATGTCTCTTATCCTAATGTTTTCACTTCTTAGCTTACCAGAGAAGATCACGATGAGTCTACGGAAGCAAACCCCCAGTGACTTCCTAAAACAAATCATTGGAAGGCCAGTTGTTGTAAAATTAAATTCTGGAGTTGATTATCGAGGTAAGTTCTCTATCTGTCTCTCACAGTGAGTAAAGTAGTTCATTGAGGAGGCTGATCCAGAATCATGGAGTATAAGGATAGAGATCTCAGCATGGTGACAGTAAAAATAGAAAATCAACTCTGGAGAAAGTGTTAAAAAGAGGGGGTAACAACAGTGGATTTAGAGGTTAAAATTACTGATCTAAATCATTAGTGTCCTTGGTCACAGGTGGGTAAACTGGATGATTTTGAGTTTCTAAACTGATACTTGGAAAGATTGTCTGGAATTGCAGCTCCTGAAATGGCCAGAAACACTCCTTGTTGGAACTATGAACTAGACTTTTCTTCACCTTTTTTTTTCTCTATTTAGTTAATACAGATCTTTATCCAGGAAAACTTCAGAGTAAACTGTGCTGTCAGTCACAATAGAATTCTTACACGAGGGATGAAAGCATTATTGACATTCTTGGTTAAACAACTGCCTAGACCTGTGCTGGATCAAGGCTCACAGAGATACAGGAAAAAGTTTAGTGTAATTTTTGCAAGCTTCATTTTAACACAGCCCATCAGTTTTATTCCTGATTTCTTCAGTCTATCAGTATACCTTCATGTATATAGGATTTTAGATTTTTTTTAACCAGTAAATTAAAACTCTCTGTGCAGTGAAATGTCCTGCTCCTGATACCATAACAGGATCACCCTGACCAATTTTTTTAGCAGTATCCAAACTCAGTCAGAACTAATCATGTATCTTCTGCTGTGCTCAATTAAGAAATTTTATTCTGTAATGACTTAAACATTATGGTTCTGCAGCAGACCCCTTCTTCAGAGAGGTTTACCTCAAGTGGCTTACACTGTCACTTGTGGAAAGAGACTTGCTTGTGCTCTGACAAGGAATCTTTGTGCTAGGACAGTTTTAAATTGTTATTGTTCACTGACTGAGCAAGCAGTGGCTTCTTACTCCTTCCTGTTTCTCTGCAGTGTTGCTCAGCTGACAAAATTTTCAGTCTCTCATTTTTTTGAGAACCACATTGAGTACTTCAGATGGGGTTGAGGGCTTAAGAAGTTTGCTGCCTCTCTGTAAATTCTTTAGTGCAGGAAAATGTAGAGAGAACTCATTAAAGTCAATTAAAGCAAGTCCTCATTTACCTGAAGGTACACAGAAGGCAAGGCCAAACCAGATTTGGGTTTTGCTACACTTCCTATTTTCATTGAGACCATTGCTACCTCTCCCTTGGTAAGATCCATTTGTAAATGCTGTAGATGAACCACTCAACTTACCCCTCAGCAAAGCTAGTTTAATGTGCCTACTGTCTGACACCACATTAATTGAACAAGAGTTCCTTGAACACCCTTATTTGTCACTGGATTTTTCCCCTCCTTCCCTTCCTTATTTCCCTGCACTCCTTTGATCTTGTGACAGAAAATCTGTGTAGTGTTTTCATCTGAAAAATATGCACTTAGTTTGTTTTCTGCAGAAATGTGACCAGCATTTGTAAAAGCCAAATATTTACAAAACAGCATCTTGGGCTGTTGTGGCGGATCTGTCCAGATTCTTCCCCAGGCTGTGTTGCTGATGCTTTTGTTGCCTCCACCCTCGGAGGCCCCACACACACACCAGCACCAGTGTGGCCTCATGCAAGTGTTGATGTGTAACTGAACTGTCTTCAACCCTTGCCAGGTGCTGCAAGTGTCCAAGTCAGAAACCCTGAGAAGTGATTGGGTATATTAATGTATGGTTTCTGTGTGTCAATATGGATATGTACATTAAAACATCTCTACATACAGATGGAGATAAATTGCTAGCCAGGATGGGCAGTGATAATATTTGATGCCATTAGTGATGTAAGAGTAAACAAAAAGAAAAGGAGGAAGAGAATGAAACAACCATGAATGCACTCTCAGAGCAAAAGAGTTTGAAAATACTGCATTTATGGCCTACTGAGTTGTATGTAGCTCAGGTAAATCCACATGGTCCAGTTTTAATTTTGTACAAACATATTTTTTTTTCTGTGCTGTGTGGATCCCTTAGGATTACTGGAATGGAAAAGAATCCTGACTTTGGTTTCGGTCCTCTTGGTGCATTTAGTGGCACTTTGTGAACCGTTTTTCCTATGTCTGTGGAAACAGAGGAGAGAAAAACAGAAAGGAAAATAATAAACTTTAAGCCATGACAAGTTGGTAAAGAAGTTGAATTCCTGATTATTAACTAGACAATTCTGCAGTAGCAGTTCTGAAAAATGAGAATGTGTCCTGAGTTTTCTCCCTCTTCCTAAGTACAGCTAATATACTATATTTCATGTCTTACTGCCAGGTAAATAGCTAGGTTTTTTTTCAAACAGAGGAAAAAGTTACTCAAGTAAAAAGTTATTTGTCCTGTGCAAGGATAAAGTCAGAAAAACCCACATGCAAGAGGAAGATGAAACAACTTGTAAAAAGCTGTATTACCTCTGTCCTCCTAAAATGCATATATTCCTGATCCAGATATTACAAATGTCAGACTTTTTTCCTTTAATTGCATTATCAAAACAGAGTAATTTTTTTGAAGATTTCAGTGGCCTTTGTTGAAAAATGTGTAGAGTTTTGTTGACATCAAAACAGAGACTTGCAGACAGTGTTCTCCTAGCTCTGTAAGTATGAAGACAAATATGTGTCTGCTGTCCTCTATTAAAAGGGTTGTTTTTCAGCTATATCCTTCACAAGTTTTGTTGACATCTCAGTTTACATAGCTTTGTCCTTAGGTTATCCTGTTACACTTAATGCCACAGGTGTTTTTTTTGGTGTGTGCTTAAAACACAAGTAAGAAAGGACAGCTTAAACTTTCAAAATGGAAATTGTCCATCTTTTGAAATAATGCCTTAATAACTTCTTTTCTTTACTCCCACAACTCTTACACCAACTGATAACTTTGCTACCGGAGATAATGGGATTCCTTTCTCCCAGCTGAATTCTTTGAAGACATCTCTCCATGCTTGGGTTTTTATTTTGTTATAAGGATACAGGGTAGGCTTTTTTCCTGTACTATTCAAACACAAAGCATTTTTGTTTATCTTAAAATAAGTTCAAGCTGATTCTCTCTTAAACTGCCACTGTTTTCAGGTGTCCTGGCTTGCCTGGATGGATATATGAACATAGCTCTGGAGCAGACTGAGGAATATGTAAATGGACAGTTAAAGAACAAGTACGGGGATGCATTTATCCGAGGAAATAATGGTAATTCCTACTCTTGTTACTGCACGTTAGAAAATTGCGTTTTGATATTCTGAATTTGAGGGATGGCTGAGGTGTATGTAAGCTGCCTGTAAGCCTAAACTAATATTCTTTCTTGGAAATCTTTACAATATTTGCATTTTACAATTTCACTTTTCAGGGTCTCTGCTTTTCTGCATTCCTGTGGTCGTTTTTTCCTCTGAACTTGAAGTTCATTTAGAGCAGCGTGCTCTTTTCTAGCCTTCTTGGAGCTTATTTTCTACTCTGTGACTGGCTTACTCTCTTGGACTTACTCCTTGCGTAGATGGCCTCTGCACCATAAGAGTTTGTGGTTTTTAGGCAAGCTACTGCATAAATTTATGCTACAATGCAGATATTATAGTGACACAAATATTTTCTGGTGAAGCAGTTTTCCAGGACTGTGAACTCCTTAGTCCTGGAGGCTATTTTAATCTTTTGAGTAAAGATTTTACCACCAGTCAAAAAAATCACTCATGTTTTAGTATGGAGCCTTTGAATATCCAAGTGCAGTAGGTGGATTTTAGTGCACTTCAGGAACAATCCCAGGCTCCTGAAATGACTCTCCAGTATCCGGCTGTAATAGCAGGACATGCCAGGAAGGAGAGTATCTAAAAATAGAAAAGGTTCACAAGTTGGAGGTGAAGAGACTTGTAGATGAGGTAAGTGAAGCAGAGTTTGACCAAGTTGCTTGGGAAGAAAATGGAGCTCAGCAAGAAGGGATGGAATAAAAAGACACAAGGGCTGAATCCCATGTTAGAAAAGGAGTCAAAGAGAATGTGGCACCAGTGTAAAAGAGCATTTTGGGTGGAGAAATAATCTTTGAAACAAGGCCAACCCTTGTTTTGGCAAGGCATTTGGACTATTATGCTAAGAACTGGAGTGACATTTCAGCTGGAGAGTCAATTAAGGAAATAATCTGTTATGAAAGTTAAAACAAGTGGATGAGAGACAGAAGGCTCAAGAACAGGCTGAACAGAGAACTGAAGACATGTGGCAGGTTTAGGAGGACACAATATCATTTTATGTTGTGACTGTTCTGGGGATATCATCAGCCAAGCAGGAGGAAGATGTCTCTTCCTTCATATCTAATCATTAGTTTTGCCTTAAGTGCTTGGGATTTCCAGCTTTTATTGAAAGATCACAGTATTAGCGTCTGACATCTGTAATTCTGCTGCTGAGGAACTCTCTCATGCTCCCCTCAGTAACACTGCAGGGCACTGCCTTTGGTCCTCCTCTGTTCAGCCTACTGCTGGAGTATAGTTGGGCTATGAATAAAATAAATACTGAACCAAAGTAATACATAATGTTTAGAGCTATTGGCATTTTTTGAAATCTGGAGTTAAAGGTGGCCTGGCGCTTTTTCATGCTGAATGGTATCTCTTAGAGTGTCAATTTATATGCCATGGCAATAAGATGTTTTAAATAAAAAGGCTTCTGCTTGTTATTTACCAGGCCCTCCTCTGTGTGCCACTTTCTCTTTTTCACAGTGTTGTACATAAGCACCCAGAAGAGGAGGATGTGAAGATGCCAGAAGGAGGCTGTTTTTTTTGTACTTGTGAACCTCTTTGAAGTGATGAGCCCTACTTGATTTGTAGTTCAAAATCCACAGGTGAAATACACAAGTGTATAAGTATTTTTTTTAAATAAATGTAAACATGAGTGTAAACTGCCTGAATGCTTTTGTTTCAAAGCATTGCTTTGTTCCCTTGTACAGAAAAGGAATAAAAGAGGAGCATGTAATAGTGCTGCAAGACTAATTTGAGGCAACAGCTCATTTAATTATGCTAACAGTTACAAAAATACTGACTGGAAGGTAAGCAGGCATGGACTAATTGCAAATCAGAGCCCTGTATTGATGGCAAAACAATGGTTTAACTGATGGTGGGAAGGGAAATGCTAATGGTTTGGTGACAATGACCTGTCCCTTTTGGAAAACCTGGGGTCAGCTTTAAATGCCAGGCTAGTAAGAGTCATCGGCTAAAAAGTTCAGCTGTCCAAAAAGTCTTGAATTGTGGATTGAATCAATGGATGTAACAGTGACACTTCAACAGTTAGGGGTGGGAAAAGAATTCAATCAAATGGAAGAAAAGCCTTAAGGGTGAAAAGAAAGCTCTGTGCCAGCTGAAGAAGTCAGTACACTGACTACACTGAGAGGTGAAGAGCTCTCAGTTGATATGTCAGTACAGCCTAGTAGCTACTTCACCTCCTGTCTGTGTACCCCCCACCCTTCCTCTGCTTGGGGTGACCTTTTTCTTGTGCTTCTCTACCAAACACAATGGACTTCTTCAGTATAAAGCAATTTTAACTAATACCTAAACCTACTCCTGAAAATACACTAGGAATCTGAAAGCTTTTATAAACATGTCACATGTGTCCTTTCCAGCCTGTTCCTTCTTTCTCCCATCCACTCCCCCCTTAACCTGGTACCATCTCTATATTCCCTCTGTCTAGCCAGAAATGAGGAGTGCATTAGAGTATGGGGTGTGCATTAGGAAGGGGGAACCTCTGAGCTGACAGCAGAGAGGGAACTTGTTTGTGTTTATTTTGCAACAGCGCTCCCAGATAATCAAAGCACAGTGAATAAAAGCAGCTCAATTTTACATGGATACTTACTCCAATTTATAAAGTGTATCTTTTACATGCAGTCAGCCAAGAAGAAACCCAAACCAACTCTGAAAATTCAGATACTCCTTTACTGGGGTGTTCCTGCACTTAACATCACACACTCAGAATGCTTTCTTGTTCTTCATGATGAAGTTATAAGTTAGGATAATGTACCTCATGGTGAGGTTATTGAGCCAATTTTTTACATGAGCTTTCTGAAGCCTGGCTTTATTCTTTGGACAGTTTATAATGCCTCCAGGAACAAAAATACTTCTAGTTGTTAATGGATTAACACAAGAAAACTGTGTGAATATATCATTGTCCCATTCTTCCCAAGTACCAGTCTGATGCAAGCAGGGAATAGTCACATTCCAATTATCAAAGGGAGAGAATGTGAACTGCAAATTTTAATTTTACTGTTTTTTTAAGATGAAGAAATAATTCTAAATTATTTTGCAGTCAGTAGTTAACCTTTCCACATTAAGCACTTCAGAAGACATGACAGAACACACAAATAGAGTTGCTACTGTACAATATACTTCAATAACTTATCATTTTCTGACAAGGGTTGAAAAAGGTCCAGGATATAAGACAAACCACCAACTTGCTGTAAGTGACATTTTTTTAAAAAATGTACCTCCAAGTGAGGCAGGCAATTTTTCATTTGCCTTTGTCATCTATATGTAGCTAGTAGGTAATGGTCTGCTTTCAGTCCTAGAGATTGTCTAAATTTTATTGTTTGTTTTTTTGTTTTTGTTTTAATATAGGATTAATTTTTTTCTGTCTCCATCTTTTTCTCTCCCTCCACACACCTACCAATGTATAGCAACACATTTTGCAGACTTTGATTTAATGTCAAGGGTTTGCATTGTTAACTTTTTAACTGTGGTTGTTTCTACAAGTCTAGTTATAGAACATTTTTCAATTGTTATCTGCTACTTCTGGTGGTCTAGTCACATACTAAACTCTATATAAATATGTAGTTTACATGCCAAGGGGTTTTTTAATGTATTCTAGGTCACAAAGTCATTATTACTATGTGAGGTAGACAGGAAGATTTGCATTGAAGGTCAGCTGTTGTAATTCATATTTAAACTTCAAAAATAGCAAAAGAAATGAAGCCTTTACTTCTTACAATCACTGACTTCCAGTTTATTTTACAAATTCTCCATGTGACATCATTTACCATATCCTGATGCTCTTGCCCCAATACCTGTGTATAAAACAGTATCACTTGGGGATCAAGCTCATTGAGATCAGAACTGACCATGAAACATTATTACTTTGAACAACCTGCAAGCATTTGTCCACCACTTTACTTAGAAGAATGGACCCAAAATTAAGTAATCCAAAACTAACAAAATTAGTGCATTTCAAAGACTGAAGCTGCACTCATGTTGATAGTCAGTACTTCTATGCAATGAGATCACACTGTGAAACCATGGCCATTCAACCACTACCCCACCCTCAGCGACACATTCAGTTCACAGATGCTCCATGAAGAGCAGGAACTGTAAATTTGCTATACGCCCACATCCAGCACAAGCTTCTTGCACAGGGAAAGCCAAACTGAGCCACATCTCCTGAAACAAAAGCCTGGCTGAGAGCAGCAGCACAGCATACCTCATGGAAACTAGAGAAAGCCTGGAAGGAGGAGGCAAACCAGGTCTCTACTAAAGCCTGCAGTGCCCTGGAGTTGCCCTACATAAAGGGCAACTAAGAAGGTTGCTAGGAAGGTTTTGTTTTTAAGGTGTTTACCCTGATGACCACTCACTTTTGCAATTTGTTTCCACCTGGTTCCTAGCTCAAAGGGAATCTAATGCAAACTATACTGAACATCATTTGAGTTCTTTTTTGTGATGTTATGATGACAAAACAGCTACTGAGAGCCCTTCTGGATATCACTTGACTATTAGTTCCTCAGGCTTTTCACAGCTCTGAAAACCAGCTGTGCCCCACAGCTGTGTTGTTCCTGGGAGATAAGAAAGCATGGAAGTGTTTGCAAAGTGACAGCCTTGCAATGTGTGACTGATGGTGCCAGAGCAATGCCTGATCTTTCATATCCCAACTCACACCCGTGGCCAGCTCCAGCCCTGCGTTTGGCTTTGAAAACAAGCAAGCTTTGGAGTCAGCAGTTTCAAACTCTGGCATTCCTGTACCAAACTGTTCTCCAAGGCCTGAAATCAGATGGGAGGGGGCATTTCCTGGGCTGCTGTAGTGACCCTGAGCAAAGGATGCTTAGCCATAGGATCCTTCTGCCAGGTCACCCTCATGGGCAGCTCCCACTCAGTGCCATGCTCACACCACCTGCCTGGCCTTGCCTTTATCTAACAGAGGAGCAACAGAGATCATCCTTTAGAATAGAGGGTTGGTTTTGTGTATGGAAATGATAAAATAGCTCAAGTGGTGAAAATGGAGAGCAGCTCTCTGTGGATGGTTTGCATCTGCTCTGTGCAGCACACTGTGGGAAAATCTGTGTGGGCTCTGACTGATGCTATGTGCATGTGAGGAGCCCAGCATCTGAGGGCATGTTCATTTTACCTGCTGTGTGTATTCCTCATCTTACTCAGTCTTATTAAAGCAATCATTAAACTATTTGTTGCTAGGCCTTGCCTCTCTCTCTTACCTCCCCTCAACCCCTCATCTAGAGCAGAACAGCTGCCCAGGTTGCAGCTGTTCTGCAGTAGTGACCACATAAAATAAAGGGTTATTTTGGTTTGAATTTGTAAGGGAAAGAGGCTCACAATGTATGTTGCATGCATATGTGCCAGTTTGTTCCTAGCAGTGACATTTTAGTCACTGTCACACTTCAGTAAGTGACGGAAGAACAGCAAGAAGAGCCAACTAGTTAAAAGGGGAAGGACCTGCCAGTACTTCTGCCAACCCTAGTTTTGCTTAACTAATAGCAGAAAAGCATCCTAGTCTCCCCAAACACAGAGGCACAGATATGCATAGGTCAACTCACGAAATGCTAGTTTGGAGATAGTTCTCTATTCCTGTGGGACTGCCATGGGTTTTTAACCACTCATCTCACAGCTGGACACTACTCTCTGTTTTAAAGATGACTTGAAATATTCTTAAATAAGGTGGTGCTGCCAGCTTTGCTGGTTTAATGATCAGTTCCTTGTGATCTGAACACAACTGTTGCTACCTTCAAGCTCTCTACTTGATCAACCTGCCCACTCTTCCCTAAGCCCCCTCAAGCTTTGTTCACAGGACTCAGGTGGCTGCCAGCTGACCAGGAGGAACTCTGAATTCATTAAAACCCTTACTATCTTGTAGCAGCAAAGTATTTCCCTACCTGTCAATAAAGCAACCAGCTTGCTCTGGAGTGTCAGCTCTGAGTTTCTTATGTCCATGCCCATATTACATACTGATCTCCACTGCACCTGCTCCATGTCTGCTGGCCCTGTTGTGCCCTGGTGATGTGGAGATGTAGAAACAGCCTGCAAGAAGGACAGAGTTTCTGCACCACAGAACCTGCAATGTTATGGGGTTTATAATCCTTCTGTGCACTTATCAGTGGCATTTCAAGTTATATGGTTTATATGCTATCTTAATTATCAAGTCACTACAGAGCATGCACAGTTGTCCTAGTGTTATTTCAAATTCCCAGCTGTGGTCTATGAGGTTTCTTTTCTTCTAGAAATCCACTACACGAACGCTTCTGGGAAAACAATAGGCAGGGTGGAAGTTGTCTCATGTCCCCTTCTCCTGACAGCTTCCTCCTAACGAAGACGTTTATGACAAGAAAAATCAAACCTCTCTCCAGTTCCAGCAGTGCCACGAGGTCTGTCTGGGCCCCATGGTCAGAGCTGAGCCCAGCTAAGCTCAAGTGACTCCAGCAGGTCACAGCCCCGGCCAGAGAAGGCTGAGGCAATGCTGTCCTGGTGGGTGATGCAACCAAAGGCTCAGAGAGGGCTGTATTTCTTACTGGAAATATCTGCCTGTCACTTGGCATTTGAATGAGCAGTTCGAAGCTGCTGGTAGGTGCTTGTGTCAGGGTAATGACTGTGACAGGCTTTTTCCATCTCTGAGGAGGAGATGGTTGTGACATTTGCTTTGACTGCAGCTTTGAAGCTGCGGAGTTCCTGTGTTTGAGAGCAGGCAGTGAGGATGAATGCTGTGTAATGCTGTATTTCAGATCAGCCCAGCAATTAACACTGTCCAGGCAGTGCCATCTGACTGGTGCTGCTGAACCTGTGAACAGCAGCGTGCCCTGCCAGAGGCTGCTGCAGCCTTGAGAGTGAGCATGGACAGTTCAGTCCAGCCCTACGTCCTCTGCTGTTACTCATGGGTTGAATCTGTTGGAGCCTCTTCTCTCCACAGCTTTGCATCGTGCTCCAGGGAACACCAAACACTGCTGTTTCAGATTCTGCCCTTGGCCACTTTTCCCTCTTTGCTCCTCACTTTTCCCTCCCAGGTGGGAGTCAGTGGAGAAATGGCCCTCACTGATTTTAGGAATAAATTAGGAAGAAAAAATCATAAGGGACTAGCTGGTTTCAGGAAAGGATTCATCATCAATACAGCATAAAGTTATTCACTTGTGCATGAAGGATGGGCAATTACAAGCTGGAACAGAATCAAGAATGCAAACTTGTCCTCTCTCCCCCTGAACTATGCTCTGCTTCCCCCGAGTAAAGGAAAGAAAACTACAAGACTTACATTATATCTTGATATTCAGTGATTTCAAGGTGTCTTTCAAATGCTGAGAAGAGCAGGCTGATGAGAGCCCCGTACCACCAGTTTCCATACTTTCCAACCAGTTTAACCGCTAAGAGCTGGGATGTCAGCAGCAGAACCTCAGTGCCAGCCTGGCATTTTGTGTCTCTTCCAAAAGACAGGCTGTAGAGGAGGCAGGCTGATGGGAACAACATTTATAAGTGAAGCATCTGCAAACTTGCCCCCAGTTTTTGGGGCTTGCCCTAGGCAGAAGTCACCAGGATGCCCCCTCTGGACAGACTCACACGGTGGTCAGATCCCAAGCAGGATCGCAGATAAGGCACAAATGGCAGAAATGAGCCATTGGCAGGGTGAGCCTGGTGGCAGTGGGCAGGATCATCAGAGAGCCCTGATCACCAGAGCAGTCTGCAGTGACAAGGGACAGGTTCAGCTCTGCCACTGACTGCCAGCACAGCTGCAGCAAAGCTTGGGCAAGGAGCAGGGCTGACAGCCTGGTCATAAATACAGCTCATGTGCCAGGGGACAGTCATACTTAGCACACGTTTGGTCCCCTGTGCCAGCTTAGGGGGATTTGTGGGGTGTTGATGGCTCTTTCTGGCAAGGCTGGCACATGGGATGAACCTTCCCAGCCTTTATAGAAAAATTCTGCTTTTACTGCCAAAATTAATCACATGTAAGCATGAGAGACAGGGCACACTGCTGGGGGCACATGGAAGGAGCTGGGGAGCTGATGTGGCTTGGCTTTGCTTTGCTTCAGCATGGAAGAAGGGATGTGTGTGTGGAGAGGGTAACAGAGGAGAAAAAGTCCCATCATCCTGCACCTCTGCAAAGGAGTTTCAGGGTGTCCTACACAAACCTCATGATTTGCTGTGGGTCTCCCCTTTCCTTCCCCACTACTTGCCTTTGTTTTCATTGAAGAAACTTGGAGATTTAACATACACACGCACACACAAAAAAAAAAAAAACAAACAAAAAAACAAAACAAAAAAAAACACCAAAACAAAAACCCCAAAAAACCACGGGTGAGATGTGAAGAAAAGACTGAATATGATTAAAGCAGGATTTGGGCGCTGGCAGAGAGCTGCCGTGGGTGGTGGGTATTAGCAGTAACAGCTGCTGCGCTTCCCATTAGAGGAGCAGGCGAGGAAGGTCCCTGAAAGGATGGGCTCCGGCAGGCTGGCAGGGCAGTGGTGGCAGCGAGCCCGGCAGCGAACGTGTCCCAAGGTAAGCGCCGGCGGCATCGGCAGCCTGAGGCATTGGCATCCTGAGGCGGGCAGCCCCGGGATGAGCACAGGCGGCCGGGAGGGGAAACGGCACAGCCGGGGCAACACCCGAGGGAAAGAGCTGCTGCTCGGGGCTACTTCCATGAGCTCTGGCGAGAAATCTTACCCAGCAAGGAGTGTTTAGGTGTGCCCAGAAGCGAGGCTGGCTCCGTGAAGAGGAGACATCCTGCTACTGGTCCAGCAGGGCTGGAAGTGTCAGCAAAGGCTCCTGTGATTCTCACGAGCATCTTCTCGCACGCAACTGGTTGGAGTGGCAGGATGCTTGGCTGCATCCATCTGCTTGCTGCTTTAGTCTGGGTATGAATTGTTCTGCTTGCAGTGGTGCTTCATTAGTCAGCTGGTAAGTTTCAGAAGTGCTTGAGAGGGAGGTGTAAGCTAGACTTCCTCAGCCTCTGTTGCCTCTGATTTATTTACAGTTACTCATTGACTAAGTGTAATGACATCTAAGGTAGGCATGTTGAAAAGAAAAAAGTGCTGCATTAAAATCAGAAGCATCTGCTTTGCGATATCCATTACAATAAATGCCACACACTAACCCTTCATCTTCACTTTGAAAAGTGCATTTTGAAAAAGCAGAATGGCACAATACTCTGTTCAATCTGGAAATGTGTTTTGTGCTGTCACCGCAGGGACATGGCAGGCAGGGACAGGCTCTGCCCTGGGCACTAGCCCCATATGTGATGGGGCCTGCAGCAGCTCTGCAGGTCCAAGGGGCAGATGTTTCCCCTATTGATCAGGCTGTACATTTGGGCTGGGAGTGGTGGAGGGTACTGAGTGTGGCTATACAGAGCCTGCTCCTCTTAAAACCCACAAGACTTTTTAGAGCAAATCTTTTCTGGCTGCACCCTCTATGGGCAGCTTGACAAGAAATACATCCTCTTGCAGGAGGCTCTTCCCTCTCCCAGCCTGAACAGTTCACTTCAGAATGTAAATGCAGTGGATTCCCCAAGTAGCTCTGGGTGCCACAGACATCACTTATTCTCTTTTGTTTAAAGACTGTGGGGAGGGCAGCTCTGGAGATCAAATAAATCAATGGCACCATTTGGGAAGCCACAGCTGTGAACAGCTCCACGTTGTTTCCTGCTGTAGGATGGAGGATGGTGGGAGAGCCCACACTGCTGTTGTTGGCTGGGCCTGCATGACCCTGTGCTTGGTCTCCTACGCGGCCGCCTTCTCGCAGGGCGCGAGCCTTTCCGCCTGCAGCGACATGATGCCCAGGCACCTGAGGGTGCAGCTGCACAGCTCCAACAGCAACTACGTCACTGTCCACACCAACATGTCCTTCTTCTTCCCGGGAGACAAGGTGCCAGGTAAGGAACAGCTTCTAATTCCTGCATCTGAAAAATTCACAGTAACTTATCTCAAGCAGTGGAATTAATCTCTGCAAGGTCTGGGAAGAGATAACTGCTCTGAGTGAGCTACAACACCAATCTTGCCATGAGGACATATTTACAGAGGAATTCTGTTTGCAGCATGGGTACTTTGGGTGGGATTCATTTATCTCAGCTGGGTCTCAACCATACTGACAGACCTCATTACATGCAGTGGCCCGTGAGAGGCACCTCCAGTGGGTAAAGTCACCTTCCCAGCCCCTCTGCACCACTCAAAGGGGTCTGGGTGACTCACCTGACTCTTGGGCATGGTTGGCAGTATTTCACATCCTCATCATTGCTGCTCCTCAGGCAGATGCAGACAGAGCTGAGAGGCACCATTCCCCAGCTCGGCCACTTGCCCATTCATCCCTGTGCAAAACAAAACCCCCCTGAGAGCAGAACACGAGCTTTCGCTTACATACAGAGTGGTGTCCAAACCTCCTTGCATAAAAACGGCTGTATGCTGCCTGATCCAATGTGGTTAACAGCTTATCTTCAATGAGGGGTGGGGGGGAAGTCTCAGGCAAATCCTGTGTGCAATTACACATTGCAAAACCAAAGTCTGGCCTTCTGTATCTAGCATGTCCAAGACAGCCTATGAGGACAAAGAGAGTAAGGGGTTTTCAGTAGTGTTGCCCAAGGTTTTTTCTGGGAAATCCATTGCAGGCAATTCACTCCATAACAGCAAGACAAATACCTTTGTGTCCTGTGTTTTGTCTTCCAAAAGTGACAGTAAGAAGCACCCGGGATTTCATGGGCTTTATGCTGCAAGCTCGCAAAGTGTCCAACAATGAAATTGCCGGCACATTCATCTTCCTGCCTCCCAGCTCCAAGCTGCTGACTTGTTTTGAAGATGGTGACACTGTCACACACTCAGACAAGTCACTGAAGAGAAACCTGTCCTTTGTATGGAAAGCACCAGACCAACCCATTGGAGACATCAAGTTTTTGTAAGGACATGCTGGTTCCTAATCAGAATTCATGTCTTCTCAGTTACAGGCTGTCCAGCACAGTGGTTTTTGTATCTTGAACCCAATATAGCTAAATACTTACCAAATGCTGTAACAATATCCCAGCTGGTGCATAAATCACCATTAATATCTGCTGCATAGTGCTGTTTTTTATTTACATGGTCACTGTTTTCTCAGAATACATACAATAGAAGATGACAGCTTAAGCATTTTAGGAAACAGAAATGTTAAGGCATAAAGAGAGAACTGTGACCATATTGCCTGTCTTTGTAAATAATACAGCCCATAGGACTTCCCTGCCTACAGGATAATCTTGTATATTACTTCTTAAAAAAAAAAAAAAGACAAAAAAGAGGTAGTTTTAAAAAAAGTTACATGTAAACAGAATTACTCACAATAGAAAGAGAATGAGCACTGTGTCAAAACTTGACATCTCTGTATTGCACCAAAGTCCCAAACTGTCCAAGTACCTTGGTTCTGATTTAGAATGAAATGAAACATCATCTAACTGACTGCCTTAGAGGAAGCACAGTGCCTCTTCATTTCAAAAGATATTAAATCATTATATTTAACTTTACAAAGTCACTTAGAAACTGCTTGGCCAGATCCTTGGCTGCTTCCCAAAACCTAGGTGTCCTGTTGAGTGCTGTGGCTGGAGCATGTCATCATGATTCAAGAAGAATTCATTGAAACAGAAATATTGCTGCTTGGAATTTCCAATTCTTGGCCATTGCTTTATATCAGAAAATACTATTAAAGTTTAAAGAAATACTATTAAACTCACAAAAATCGCCAAATAAACCCAAGCAAATCCCAACAAGACCTAGTCCTAGCCATCCACTCTGATACTTCCTTCGTGTCTTGCTTTTGACCCTCCGAGCTGATATCTGATAGACTCTTTCTTTTTACCCCATCACAGCATCTGGAAAAATGCCTTTTTAGGCTTAAAAATGCTTCATAAGTGTCATCTGGCACAGGAAAACCTAGGTTGGTTTCCCTGTAGATAATTCTCAGAAGCAGCTGAGCAATCCGAGCTGAAATTCTCCCGAAATCTCCAGCTTAAAAAAGGCTTTCAGGGTGAAGTTAAAGGTTGGCCAACAATTTTGGCACCTGACAAAAAGCAGAGGATTAGGCAGGCTCAAATATCAGAGGGATGAGAAGAGAGACTTTTTCTTCCCCTTACCTATTCTGCTGTTTGTACAAGTTACATTGGCTTGTTTTAATTAATAAATACCACTGTTGTTTCCCTGCCTACAGAAGATTGTAAGCAGAGCTAGTCCAAGTTTTACAAATGTACTTCTATCAACATGATGAATGTAATACAGCTTTTTAAAATATTTTTTTTGTTTAAGTTCCCACACATTTTTTGGCTGAACTTAATTATTTATTGAGTGGTGATTCTTTACCCCACATCTTTCTTATAGGACCTGGTACCTTTTATTTGTAATAGAAAACGTACAACAGACTAATCCTTTAAAATACTTTTGCATTGGTTCTCTGTTCTGATTAAAGCAGTCTTTGTGATTACACAAACAGTCAGATGTTTTATTAATGCTATAGAGCCAGTAAATTCTTGCCTGATTATGTTTTAACAGCATCTCCATAGTCCAGTCATACTTTGTTTACTGGGCAAAGATTGGATCTGCTGTTGTGGCTCAGGGAGGGCAAAACAAGACTCTTGCTGACAAGAAGCCCGATGCCGTAGTCCCCACGCCGCTGCAGGGGGCAGCTGACCCTCACCCCACAGGTATGGTGAGCAAACCTTGCTGTTTCTTACCAGCACCTCCTGCAGAGTAGTTTTACAGCTTATTCTAGGCAAGTCTCCAACACAAGTGGTCCAAACAAGCTGGGCAGACCCATTTAACTCCTGTGTCTGTCGAGATCAGGGATGGCCATGGTGAGCTCCTTGAAGTGAAGGTATGGGTCAGTATTTGAGGTGTGGGCCCGTATTTGAGGAGCCAGATACAAGGAGGGCACCAGAAAGTTAAATAGGGTTGCCAGTGCCATAATGCCATAAGGCCATCGCATTATGATTTCAATGCAAATCTTAAAATCCTTTACCTAAAACCTCAGCTCTTGAAGAGAAGGAAGTGCAATTAGGAATGTGGTCTAAATAGAGGAATATATTTGTCTCTAAATGTGATTATTGTCCTCCAGGTATATATTTAGTTGTATTTATGCAGCCTCTGGTCAGTAAGATGCTCCAAGAATTTACTTATACCTAAATCAGACTTATTTCTCAGCATTTTTGGCATGGCACCAAGGCTGAGTTTTAATTATTTTACTTGACTATTACATAGGCTGCGAGCTTTGCTTCTTTAGTTTCCATGTGGGTGCCCTCTTAAAAATAAGTGACATGAAAATAAAAGAGTCACTGTTACAAACCTTCCTGGCAAACCTTGGCACTGAGTGGGATTTGAAATAAACAAACAGAAGACAATAGACTTCTGCTCCTCTCTCCCTGATTTTTATTTTTTTCTCCCTGCTGGCCAAGGTCCCATCTCTCCTGCAGCTGCCACTGGCTCCCTGCTGCCTGCCAGCCCCACTGGCATTATGGCAACACCAGCACCAGAGCCAGATTTTGGTGTGGGGTCGGAGAGTCGTCCCTTTGCTGAGCCAAAGCAGCCGGCCCGGACTTTGCGGGCTGTGTCCAGCAGGAGTATCCGGTCCAGAGGCCAGGGGCTGGAGCTGTCATTTCCCACCCAAGACGTTGGAATGGTGGATGCCTTGCAAGGTTCTCTCTCCCAGGACAATGCCTCCAGCAACAGCACCTTCAATGGGTAAATCTAGGTGGTGGGAAAAGCTGTTTTCCAGTCCTTGTAGGGAAGGAAAATAGTAATAGTTTCCCTGCAGATGAACAAGGAAAATGTAGGAAGATGCCTAAGTGTAGGAAGGTGTCTGGGGGAGGTGAGAGGGTGTTTGTTTGCTGAGATTTTGAGAAATAATCGTTTGGATATTGCACATGACAGACAGTGACAGGGAGAAAATCCAAAACGCCTAAGAACCCAACACTGTGTTGCTCAGCACAGTGGGGGACTAGCCAGGTGGTGGAAAGATGTGATAAAAACTATCGACTGTTATAACATTTTTCTGAAAGTGCATACAAATATTCAGTGAAACAGTGAACTCAGCAGACATATTTCTCCATCTGCAGGGAAAAGGAGAAAAAAAAGGATGCAAAGAAATTACGAAATTTGGGCTTGGGGACGTCTGCTCAGAAGTTTTAGAAGGTTTGAGCTGCATGAGCTTTCATGCAACATTTCATATTGTGGGCAAAAATGATGGGGATAGGAATCAATGATCAGGCATAATTCAAAATACAGGTTGTATGATCCACATTGACTGCATGCTTCCCAAAACTGCTCTAAGGAGCAGCACTTCTTGGTAGTGTGAGCCACAGGTGTCACTTGCTAACTCTGCCTTTCCTCTGTCCATATTTCAGTGCAGGAAGCATTGCCAGCGCTGCCACCCTACACTTGTGTTTGATGTGTACAGACAACAGGAAGGTAAGAACCAGGGGCAGAGAGGATGCTCCAGCAGCCCATGTAGGTGTCATAAGTGACTAAAACTACATAGAGACTGTTGAAAGTTTAAATTTTTTTTTTCCTTAACTGGAAATTGGGGTTTATATATCTTTCGAGTTTGTTTTTTTTTTTTTTTTTTTTTTTTTTTTTTTTTTGAGTCCAATGCCTGGGTTTTTAAGAGGCCCACTGTAAAAACAATTGCTTTCCCTTATGTAGATGTGACTACAGGCTGCTGGAAATATGTAATATGTGTGCTTAGAGATACAGGACACAGAGTTAACGGGGTAAGTCCACTATGCAGGTGATGGAGAGAAGAAAAATACAAGGAGCAGAAAGAGCTAGACCTGGTTACCAAAATGCCAAAGGAGAAAGAGAAATAATCTCACTGAAAATAAAAGAGAAAGGGGGCATAGAGCACAGAATGAGCCAGAAATATTTAGGAAGGAGCAGAGGACAGAGAACAAGTAAAGGAGAGATGTATACCATGAGCACCTGGCAAAGCCACAGAGAGAAGTGGAGAACTGGCAGTAGATGGAAACCAAAGGGAAGGAAGAGTTATTGCACAAGGCAAGATCAGAAAAGTATAATGAAACAAAAACACTGAAAAATTAGGCAAGAATGGGGAAGAGTAGGAAAAGAAAGGAGAAATTAGTTGAGACAGGGCAAGGACTTGCGAGCAGTTCCATTTTCTATCCCAAAGTCCCAAGTCCTGCAGCATATCCTTACAGTACAGAGTTCGCATTTTGAGGGCAAGTGATCCATACACATGCAATTCTAACTTTGCCAGCCTGTCACTTTACAGTTTGCAGTTCAGCCACTGAAAGTCTTCTATTTACTACTGTATTTTCATAGCACCTTCAGAAACCATCCCTTCCACAAAGGATGCTCTGACCCTCCACTACTTTGCTTCACAGCTTGCCAGGGCTCCTACCTCAGCTTTGTGCTCCTGTCACACTGTCTTCCCAGGAAGCTTTAGAAATCACTAATGATGGTAGAGGCTGAGAGTTTCTCTGGTGTAATTAATGGATGTGTGAAAAAGCCTGCTGGGCTGGACAGGCTGGAGAGGTGCCAGCTACTGAGAGCCAGATCCAAATCTCAGTGGAGCCAAATTAAAAACTCCAGTACACTTTGCAGATTTTGGATGGGGGCTCAGGTGCATAGTGGGAATGGAAAAATTCATTGTGGGCCTCCTAAATTGCATGCTTGTTCCCCAGTTAGTCTTGAATGATACCTGCAGCAAAGCCTGGGCTGCAGAACTGGCATGGAGCAGCTGGCATTTTGTGACAGTTAAAATAAGGTACATGGAACCAGACAGTGCCCAGAAACAGGCCCAGGCAGGAACCTACATTCCCACGAAAATGGGTGGAGGGGCAGAAGATTTCAGACTGGCCGTGCAAACTGAGGAAGCAAGACAGGCTTTGGGGAGAGTTTATGGCTTATATTTGAATGCCCCAAAACTGCTGATGGCAAAGGCCATCCCAAGTCTTCCATGTCTGTCCACTCCATAGCCTCAGAAGGGCAATACTGAATCCCAGTGGGTCCATGTGAGCCTACACACGCAGCTTGGCTGGGAAAATCACACCTGTTCTTTCAGCATGACCCTGGTGCCATTCAAGGTGGGAACTGTTTAAGTGATATCATTTTGTGATAATGATGCCTGTGAAAAATACCACCACCACACCAGAAACTGCAGATATTTAGTTAGACTTATAAGTGACCTTCCTCTCCACCTGTGCCCTTCAACTTTGCCCCTCCAACCCACACTACTTTTGCTCCTGGGACCAACTGGGGTGCCTTTTTCCTCCACGGCAATTCTGGTGTGGATCAAGCAGGGTTGCATCTGCTTCATTTTCTAAAAGCTACTGAGTAAACAGGGAATAGAGAAGAGTTAATATAAAGCCAGAGGGATACAAGGGCATTAGAAACAGAGTTGAAGTATTCCATGAGGTAGGTAGAAAGAACTCAATCAGCCCCCTTTTCGCTTCCCTCACTGCACATTTTGGCATGTTTTTGCTTCCAAAGGGCAGTACTGAGAGTGGGACCATCTTGAAAGCCTCTTTACGTGTGACAGCGTCTCCCTCTGCCCTGCACGTACGCACTCACCTGGGCAACATCGCTGCAACCACAGCCTGGCTTGGTGATGCCAACACTGCTGGCAATTTGTCCTCGGCATCAAGGCAAATGGCAGGAAGAGAGTTGGCACCACAGCCAGAGGAAGCAGGCACCAGGGGTGAGGAGGACAAGGATGAGCAGGAGGCAGCTGGGAATACCCTGCCATGGGTGACCAGACCAGCTCCTGAATCTGCTGTTCCTGGGATAGGGGAAGGCCCTGGCAGAGGAACCCAACTCCTTGCAGCCCAACTTGGCATCCTCCTGGTCTGCACGGCCGCGCTGGCGCTGCTGCTGGCAGCTGCCATGCGCTGTGTCTGTGCCCAGCACTGCCACAAGCGGGCCGAGGTGTCCTTCAGTGAGCCCGAGCCTGACATCATCACCATCACGGGAAACGGGGCGGTGATGCGCTTCCGAAAGATCCGGGACAACAGCTTCGTGCTGGTGCCGGCCGAGTGCAACTGGGTCAGCCCCTCGCGCAGCGCGAAGAGGACTGTGGTGGTTTAGTCCCTCCTTGTGCTGCCATACGGGCAAACAAACCTAAAGCAGCCAGTTCAGACAGAGATGTTAGCAATGTATCTAAACTACAGCTGCTGAGAAAATTGAAGCTGATAAGATTGCTCAGTGTGTTACACTTACTGTAATTAATATTGTATATCTGCTCATTAGCTGTCACTGTGGCAATGACATACTCTTCTTCTGTTGCCTTAAGGGTGTAGCCAAAATTAGAAATTCTTCCTCTGCATTGTGGTATTGATTCCTGTTTAATCTCAGAAAAAAGTTTCTAGTTTTATATTTCTTTCTAGGAACTACAAACCCAGCCTTTCTCATTTAAGAGCTTGCAGGCTTGACTCTGTGTACTTGGTATCCCTCGGATGACAAATATTTGCCACAAAACTTCAAGTTTCAATTTGAAAATAAAAAGCAATAACTCATTAGTGGAGAACATTGATCCCAAGAACGCTGAATTGATCCATGGAGTGAAACACAGGATGGCAGGCACCACCTTTTGGGGGAGAAACATGCCTTCTCATCAGGTGCAAATGGAAGAAAATATTTCCTGTCCATTTGCACCTGATGAAGAAGTGTGTTGAAGCCTGACAGCCAACATTTATTTAGTCTTTTACTTTGAGTCAGCTCAATGACACTGTGCAGAAACACAGACTGAGAAGTACCCTTCCCAGGTCACTTTGGAGATGCCCTGCAAAGGCTGCATGGGAAGTTAACAGCATCCTTGTTCGTGCAAACTTCTCTCTGACCCTGTGGTTTTCTGCAGGAGACCCCTAAAGCAACCCTTGGAAAACAACATGATCCTGGGCACATCCTAAGAAGGAGAGGTGACAACAGCAAGGATAAAGTTTTATTTTACTGCAACTTTAAAAGAGCCAGGAATAGACCTGATAATGATCCTCTTGAGATGTACATATTAGAGCCTTTCAGAGAGCAGGAATTGATCCCTCTGGTGTCCTTTTCTAGAGTGGATCAGCTTAGAGCTCATCATTCCCAAGCCATGCAGTGGGGGACAAATTTACATTTGGTGCTGCAGCCTAAATCAGAGCCCACAGCAATCCCCCTGAACCAAGCAGATAATGACAGGACTCTGATGGTTCACCCAGCCCTCCTGGTGACAACTTCCCCTCTGTCAGGAAGGCTCTGTGGCCATCTCCAACTAGTTGCCCATCTCCATGCTGGGTAGTCAGTCAAAGCCCCGCTCTCACATCCTCCCTTACCTCACCACTGACTTCAGAGCAGACAGGTGGGACATGAGTTCTCCTGCTTCAGCTCCAGCACAATGCACAGAGTGCAGCTTTTGCTAACAACGCCTTCCATTAGCATTCAGAAAGAGCTGGTTTCTGACCATACTGCTGCACTGCGATTTGTGCTGCACACACGGACAAACTTTTATCAACTTCACTTCTAGGCCTGGTGAGTCTTGGGCAAAATAAATGAGGAAGAAAAGAAGTGTACTCACAAATGCAGCTTACAGAGATGAGCTTGATGCTCTTAACCACTGCACTTTGAAGAGAAGGACAACTGCACCCTTTGCTGCAGAAAAAACAAGGGTAGTTCTGTAATTGAAAAGACAAAGTTGGATTAGGACTCAGAAGGATGCCAGGTGAATGGTTTTATATTCACTAATTGAACTTATGCCCCACCCACTAGTAAATCTCCAGGTTTTTAAGCACACGTCTAGACACTTAAAATGGCATTCCTCTCCCATGTCATGTGGCTTAGAAAGAAATCATGTTTCTGTAACCCAGTGTAGCTGAACTGTGTAGTGACTAAAACAGACTGCACTCAAGTCATTGCTAATGCAGCCAAAAAAAAAAAATCCTAATCAACTAAGAAAATAGGTCAACAAATGCTTAAATATTTAAAGAACTATCACATATTATTTTAAAAAGTTTCTTATGATGGCATAGCTGTTTATGAATAAATTACAAATACCTATGGCCTCTTTCACTGTTTCTCTAGGATTAATATTACCAGACTGCTCTGGCTATAAAACCAGAACCTTCCTCTCCTCACCTCTTCCCTCACAACCCAGCACTGCATCTTTCTAGGCTGACTAGAGCAAGGGAAGGCCTCTTAGAAGTGTTTGATTGGGAGAATGGCACTTCAACACCAGTCTGTCTTCTGCCAAACTCTGCCTTCTGCTAAATTGATGTGCTCCAGTATTAATAACAGCAAGACCAGTAATGGTGAGCTCTGAGGGATTCAGCTCCTCTGAATTAGTAATGAGTTTTGCTACTTTGCGGCTCTCTTGGCTGAGACTAAAGTGCCTGTACCTTTTTTTTGACTTCTGAATGATGTTCTGTTTGTTGTAGTTGCCATGACAGGAGGAATGGAGGTCTTACCTCTTCTAAAAGCTGTTTAAAACACAAGCGCTGGTTAATCTATTAAAAGGCAAACCATTCAAATATCCCCATTCTTAACTGACATGCCTTATATGGAAATTAGTCTGTGCTCACGCTTGTAACAGATTTCTGAGGAAAAAAATGTCAGAATTAGGGAAACAAAGGCACAAACCATTCTAATATTTACTGGAGAGAGAAGTGAAAGAGTTTCCTTATTTCCCTCTCTAGGTGCATGACTGGGCTGGTCACAGACGTTCTGCTGGAACTGGGGATTTCAGTTCCTCCAGGGCAGCTCAGCCTGCAGTCACCTGTGGCCCATGCCAGGCTGTCATCCCTCAGTGAAGTGACATGGTCTGGGGTCAGAAGTACTGAAAGCAGCTAATGCACACCTATCCTAAACTTATCTCTCCACCAGCCAAACAGGCATCAAACACAGTTTTGGCAACAAAAATGTCTATGGCTATTGCAATGCTTTAGCTATCCTTACTCAAGAAAAATAAAATAAAAAAAATTTACAAAATGTAATGTGGAGAGGTTGCACTAAGCAAGACAGCAGATCCAAAGCTTGGATATCACAGACATTTCTTGCATTGGTTGAATTGTCACTAGTAAGCAAAAAAGCCAGACATGCACTGATTTGGCCAGCTGCAAGAAGGGTGACAGGAATCACAGGAGAAGCTCCAGGGCCCTGTGGGCCCAGCAATCACAGTCAGCAGGGATGTGTGAGCTCCAGCTCTCCCAGATCAGTGTGGATGCGGCCCCAGGCATTTCAGAATCTGGCTGGTTGGCTTGGCCAGCCCTTTTGGCACAATTTCTGCAACTACTCAGGACCACAAAACCAAGGAAGGCAAAGCAGCAAGGTCAGGAACCCAGAGAGTAAAACATTCAGCAGATGCATGTGTTATTTATTCACTCAGATTTAAATAATAATGATAAATGCCTGTTTAAAAAAGAAAAGGAGATGCTTTAACAGTTCCTGCAACATTCAGCTCCTAAAAGACAGCTGCTTAGCAGCAAAACCAAATGACAAAGTAGCAGCCTGACCTGCAAAGCTGGTGAACAGCAGAACGGATCTCTCACTCCTGGCAAGCTGACCCTTTCACTGCCTCTGTCAGGCCTTTAAGGCTCATTGTGTCTGGACAGCTCTACAGGGCTCCCTTTCTGCCTTTGCCTTCCCTTCCCTCTCCTGCCAGCTTGTCCGAGGCTACGAAAGGGCAGAGAAGGACCTGGGGAGTCACAATTTCCCCTGGACCAGGAGCTGCTCAGAAATCCCCCCCAGCCCCTTCCTGCCACTGAACTGCTTCCCCTTCACAGGTTTTGTCTTGGCAGCCCTCTTTCCTCACTAGACTGTGTGTGACTCTCTCAATAAAACATTTTGTTACATGATGTATGAAGGACCGTGTCTCAAACCACATTTTACTGTATATTTAAGTGCATGTTTTGCTGATTTACTACTGTTCTAGAGAACGTCTCCCTCCCTGAGCAGGGCAGGCCCGTTATGGATACATCAGCTCTGACTAATGATTATTAGTACATCCCAAGGTTATGTCCCACAATCAAATAATGTGTAGGAGGGAAGAGAGACTCCAGCTTGCTCGGCTGAGGACAAAGATCACAGATAGTCTCTTTCAATCTTCAGATTGCAATATCCATTACAGATTGCCACCTTCTAATGTCAAAGTATAATTTGTTGTTGAGAAAATGTGTTGCTGCTCCAAAGGTGAGTCAAAGATCAGGCTGGCTGTATATCAGTGCATGTTGATGTACATTAAGAACTGACGGCCAGGTACCAAGGACATCGGGCAGCTGGTGCAGAGGGAACGGCAGCAGACGTGACTTGCTGATCCTTCCTGTGCAAATACACGGCCCGGAGTGGGAAAATATTTAACCCAGTCGAAGTCAGGTGTCACCAGTAATTGCCAGTGTCTAAGGCAGCACCGACGCGACGTGTCAGAGGCAGCGGCTGCCTGCAGCGGCGTCGGAGGCGCGGCGGCGGGCAGGAATGGAGCAGTGCCCGCGCTCCCGGGCACATCCCGGGCCGCTCCCGGGATCATCCCCGGGCACTCCCCAGGGCAGCGCCCGCCGCCCGCGCTCCCGCCGGCCGCCGCCAGGGGGCAGCGTTGTCCCGGCGATGGCGCGCCCGGGCCGAGGGAGGGTTTGTAATCCTTCCCTTACATTCCCGCTTGTAGGGTTTAGATCCGTCTTAATTATCGAGCCACTACACAGCATACACAGTTTCCCCCAGTGCTATTTTAAATTCCCAATTGCGGTTTGTGGGGATATTTTCTTCTAGAAATCCACCACGCGAACGCATCTGGGAAAACAATAGGCAGGCTGGAAGTTGTCTCATGGCCCCTTCTCCTGACAGCTTCCTCCTAACGAAGACGTTTATGACAAGAAAAATCAAACCTCTCTCCAGTTCCAGCAGTGCCACGAGGTCTGTCTGGGCCCCATGGCCAGAGCTGAGCCCAGCTAAGCTCAAGTGACTCCAGCAGGTCACAGCCCCGGCCAGAGAAGGCTGAGGCAATGCTGTCCTGGTGGGTGATGCAACCAAAGGCTCAGAGAGGGCTGTATTTCTTACTGGAAATATCTGCCTGTCACTTGGCATTTGAATGAGCAGTTCGAAGCTGCTGGTAGGTGCTTGTGTCAGGGTAATGACTGTGACAGGCTTTTTCCATCTCTGAGGAGGAGATGGTTGTGACATTTGCTTTGACTGCAGCTTTGAAGCCGCGGAGTTCCTATGGTTGAGAAGAATTTCTTCCTAATATCTATTCTAAATTTACCTTCACTTTAAAGCCATTCCTCCTTGTCCCATTACTGTTTGCCCTTGTAAAAAAGTCACTCTCCAGCTTTATTCTAGCCCATCTGTTTGCAGGGGCTCCAGAACTTCCAGTTAACAGCCTGCAGGAAAACACCCTGTGTGGCATCATGGTCTCTTTGGGAGGTTCACTATCACCCTGCCCTCTGCAGCTGCTTGCCAGACGCTCCTTCCCAAAAAACACCCACTAGAGTACATGGCTCCAGCAGACAGCATGCACATGTCCAATCTGGTTACAGCCACGGCAGGTGAGCAGTGCAGCACAAGTCAAATATGCCAGAGATACCCACACAGTGTCATCCTTCCTGTGCAAAGCACAGGAAACATGGATGCAGCACAGTCCATGCTGGCCACAGCCACAGCAACATCCTCTGGGAGGCTCCCTGTCCTTGATGTCTACAATGGCTAGTGCTGTTCTGGGCTCACACTGACAAGGGCAGTGGTGGCACCTGGAATGTGAGGCAAGGATGCCGCTTGTGTCTGTGAGACTGGTTCCTTGATCCTCCCTTCTCCCTATCTGCCATGCTTACACATCCCCCTCATCTTCCTTGACAGCTCTCTTTCTCTGCCCTTCTCTCCTCCCTGCTATCTATTCCACCTGAATCCAAGGTTTGTCCCACCTGTGAACAGATGATTTGTCCCATCTATTTCAGGCACTGTTAACTAGTTCACCTTGGCCTTCCATGGCATTACAGATGTGGTTTCCTGGGTCCTTCTGCTTCTACCAGGTTCTTCTCCCCAGAATGACCCCACTCTTCCTTCAAACATCTGTGAGGTGTGGCCACCTCACACATCAATGTCCTTTTGCTACCTGTGAAATCATGTTCTTCCTTAGGGCACTGTAGCTCCTTTCAGCTTCTCCCTGTCTTTGTGACAGTCAGAAATTTTGCTTGTCATGCTCAGGAGCTTCCCAGGTCTGCTCCGTTAGCTAAGGCTTTTGTCAGGCCCCAGTCACCAGCTTGTGTGCCTCACTATGTCCCTCCCCAGGGTGTCTCTGCATGTGGCATTGTCTCCTCCTGTCCTCTTCCTAGCCTTGATCTGCCAGTCTTCTCCATCCTGTGGTGGCTCTGACCACTCTCCTCTTTGACCAGACACAGTTCCAGCCCTTTAGAGTGAGTCTCTTTGTGTCCAAGTGGTCTGAGGCAGCCTCATTTTGCAGGTCCTGAGCAAGGAAGTCCTTGCCTTGCCCAGGAGACCAAACTGGACTGAAAGCATGGTTAACTGCAAACATAGGCAACTTTATTTCAGTAACTAAGTCAACATCAGCACTTGCATATGTGTAGAGGAGCAACATGGGCAGGACAGAGCAGGCCTTTGGCACTGAGATGGCCTTTGGATAAAGCAGGCACTGCCTCAGCAGGAAACGGTCACAGTCCCATGCAACCTGCACTGGATCCTGTCCATTCTCCTGCTCAAACTGGGATTCCCTGTAGGTTCTTCAGGAGCTCCTTGATCTGAGTGAAGAATTCCGTCAGCTTCTTGAGTGGACATGGGAAGTTCTTAATCTCTTCCACTGGCGTGGGTATCGAAGTTGGCTTCTGGGTGGGGGTTGGTTTTGGCCATGGCCTCGGAGTAGGCAGTGTTGTTGGCCATGGCTTATGAGTGGGAAGTGTTGTTGGCCATGGCCTTGAAGTAGGCACTGTTGTTGGCCATGGCCTTGGAGTAGGCACTGTTGTTGGCCATGGCCTTGAAGTAGGCACTGTTGTTGGCCATGGCTTATGAGTGGGAAGTGTTGTTGGCCATGGCCTTGGAGTAGGCAGTGTTGTTGGCCACGGCTTATGAGTGGGAAGTGTTGTTGGCCATGGCGTATGAGTGGGAAGTGTTGATGGCCATGGCCTTGGAGTAGGCACTGTTGTTGGCCATGGCTTATGAGTGGGAAGTGTTGTTGGCCATGGCTTATAAGTGGAAGGTGGTCTTGGCCATGGCTTCTGAGTGGGCCATGGGGTGTTCGTATGATGAGTCCAGGGTCGTGAGGTGGTTGTATAATGACTCCATGCTCGAGAAGCTTCTACCTGTGGAAGTAGGTCCATCTGGATGAGAATCCAGTCATAGAAGTGCTGAACAGAAGTGTATATTCCAGGCCGTTTTGCTCTGGCGCAGCCTCTCCCCCAGCTGGTCACTCCGACAACCCAGAAGAAGTCAGCGCTGTTGTCTTTGCACATGAGTGGACCCCCGCTGTCACCCTGCAGAGAACCAGAGAGGATTAAGGTGGTGTTGGGTGGCCCCTGTCAGCACTGGTGCTGCTTCCTTCTCCCTCACAGCCCCTGCCAGAGCTGTATTCCCAGCAGAGCAAGGTTCTGCTCAGGTGCTGGAGCCTCCAGAAGCTTGGCTGGGAGTGGGTTGGGGGCCTATGAAGTCAGGCTCTCTCTCAGCTCTGCAGAGTGATCCTGGATGTGCAGAGGACAGATGTTCCAGTATTGGTATCTGGACCCCTAGACTGCCAAGAGCACTAGCAGGGCTTTCTCAGCAGAGTGCCAGGCCTCTGAGACAAGGGAGGCACTGGGCTAGGCCCTGCAGACGGTGGGAAGCCACAGCGAAGGTGGAGAGCCAGGGCTGAGAGTGACTGGCCGGGGAAAGCAGGGGCTGGGCTGTGTTGGGGCAGTGCTGCCTGTGCGGCTGGGGGCTGAGTGATTTGTCACTGAGTGACACTCCTACCTGGCAGGTGTCGATGCCACCCTCCGGGTAGCCAGCACACAAGTTGTGGGTATGGATGTCCCCCTGGTACCACTCGCTGCTGTTGCAGATCTGGACATTGATAAGGTGGACCTTGGCTTCCTGCAGGACATCACTTGATTTCTGAGCTGTGAGCACAGAAGGGAATGAGGACGCAGCAGCTCGCTGCCACTTTCCCCATCTAGGGGTGATCCCCTTCCCTACAAAGGGCTTGGCTTTGTCTCTACAGAGGTGCTGGAGCTCTCTGTCCCTGCTGTCTGCCTTTAGGGAGTGGGCAGCCTGATTCTGGCTTTGGCCTCTGCTGTCAGGAAGCCCAACCCATCTTCCCAGTGTATTGAGCTTGCCCTCCATTTCTGGCAACTCACATCTTGCCGTAGTGGCACCCCAGCCAGCGACATAGCAGGTTTCCAGCTGTGCCACATCCAGCGTGGCGTTGGGCACACAGGCCAGCTGGATGTAGGAGCTGCACTGGACGGGCTCGTTCAGTTCCAGCAGCGCGATGTCGTTCCTCTGGTCGGCAGAACTGTATTCCTTGTGAACCAGCAGCCGCTTAATCAGGCGCACCTCGGCCCCAGGGCCCGGCTCAGTCAGCTGGGTGGCCCCGATCAGCAGGCGCATGGCGCTGATGTTCCTGAAGGCACGCGAGAGAGGGGTGAGGGAGCAGAGTCTGGAGCTGTGGCAGCCCAGCAGGGACCAGCCTTCTGCTTCTCAAAGCAGAGAGGAAAGCAGCACTATGGAGGCAGTGACTGCTCTAGCACGCCTCAGGCTCTGGGAATGTCAGCTGGAGGCTGCTAGGGAGTAGTGGCATGTGCCCAGCCTTCTCCTGAGCAATTTCTCAGCTGGGCTCTGCATTGCTCAGGCACTGGGCACACTGCAAAGAAATGAGATGGGAGAAGTGCATGGCTCTTGCTGCCAGGGCACCGTCTGATGTTGTGGGGATATCCCTGTTTCCTGCTCCTTCTTACCTGGAGTCGGCAAAGCAGTGGGCTGCTGTGAGGACCCACTGTGTGTTGATGAGGGACCCTCCACACAGATGCCCAGTGCCTGAAACCGAGGGATCTTGGATGCTGACAAGCCAGGGCCAGGCCCCTGCCTCGGCACTTTTGCCACCCACGACGCGTGTCCTGCCTTGCTCCTCATCAGAAGTCAAGGGCCGGAGCCCACAGCTTCCTCTGCAAGGAGAAAGCCATTTCCATCCTGCTCCATGGCTTGCTGCTGCTCCAGCAGAAGCTCCCCATGAGGTGTGTGGCGATAGCACGCCAGGGAAGGCCATGGGGTGTGCGCCTGTCCACAAGGAACTGAGGCTTCCCCATGGGGTTTGGGAAGCTGTGGCCTGGCAACAGAGGTCAAGCTCTCCAGGGAGCCCCCAAAATGCTCCAAGCTCCCTCCCAGAGCCTGGGGCCACTTACTCGCAGGTGTTCCACATGGCCGGCACAGGCCGGCACGTGGCCAGCAGCACCAGGAGGCCGAGCAGCAGCATTGCTGCCCGTGGCTTGTGCCAGCTGCGGGAGCAAAGCCTCCGTGCACCAGCACAGCCGCAGTGCCCGCAGCACTGCCGCAGAGCCCGCAGCACTGCCGCAGTGCCCACAGCACTGCCACACCCTCGGCCCCGGCCTGATGTCACAGAGCAGCCGGTTCCACATCCTGGGCACTGCAGCCTCTGGCACAGGGAGCAACGTGGAGCCATAGAATGTTTTGGGTTGGAATGGACCTTAACGATCATCCAGTTCCAGCCCCTGCCACGGGCAGGGACACCTCACACCAGATGCTGCTCAAAGCCCCATCCAACTGGGCCTTGAGGATTTCCAGGGATGGGGCAGCCACAGCTTCTTTGGGCAACCTGTGCCTGTGCCTCACCACCCTCGCAGTCAAGAATTTCTTCCTAATATCTATTCTAAAACTGCTCTCTTTCAGTTTGAAACCATTCCCTCTGGTTCTATCACTACTTGTTCTTATGGAAAACCCCTCTCCAGCTTTTTTTGTAGACACCTCTGCTTGCAGGATGAGGGTACGCAGGCCCTGGCACACAGGAAAGCACAGGTCCATTTGTCAGCAAGGTGGACAATTTTGCTTTCATTCTTTAAAATATGACGATTTGACTGAGTTTTCCTATCATGTAGTACCTAAGTAAAAGTCAGCTTGGTCATGTATGTGTGGTATTTTGGCCTATGTATCTGGAATGGAAAATACCCATGTCCCTGCTCTCCAGGACAACTTCTCAGCCAGTCAGCACTCTCTCTGAAGGACTGTGAAGTGATAAGTGCTGCCTACAAAGAACAAGGCATAGAGAAAAAACTGATGAAAGCACTGGTATTAAGAAGCATTGAGATATATCTGATAAAATCCAGCTTTGCTTTCCATGTCAGCCCATATATTGTGAAAAGCTCCTGAAGATCCTTAACCAAACAAAAAGAAAATATGCAATCAAAATGGTATCTAAATATTAACCTGCTGACTGATACAGATGTATACAACAAATATGTGTATGTACACATATTATTCTAGTTATATAGTGCTTTCTACCCCTTTCTCTGTTTTCAGAAAGAACAAGGAAAAGACACACACAAAGAAGAAAAAATGAGAAACTTGAAAAAAACTCATAATCTGTATTTGCAAACCAAATTAAATTTTTGGACACCCCAGTGTTTAAGCGTTTTCTTTTCAATCTTATTAAAAGTGCCCAGTTTTCAGAGAGTACCTGTCCTCCCAGAGTGATGGTTACCTCATGTGTCAGTGCCAGTTTAGCATCTGCCATCATTTCTGATTTTGGGAAATGTAGGCCCCATGTGTTTACACTTCTTCAGATTGTCAATCTCTTTCAAGGAGTTAGCAAAAGGTTTACATCTGCATTGGTTTTACTTATCTGAGTTGTTTTCCCGTGCTTATGATCACCCTTTTTCTCAGTGAGAGGTTGAATTTCTGGTGTAGGAATATGCATCCACATAAAAATGAGGGCTCAATACATTTGAAAAGGGAGAGTCATTTAATCATTGATGAAGGTATAATATCCTGAGTAAGTCTTAAAACCACCAGAGGTCACACATGGGTTTCTTCCTTCCCCTTTTCCTCTTCCAGCTTTCTTAAAAAATTTGTTTGTTTGCCAGTACAGCTGGATTTTTTGATACAACAAGGCAGCTAAATTTCATGTATGGAAAATATTGAAAAATAACTGCATTCAATGTTTGAGCAGACCTAGTGATGCTAAACACATATTTTCCTGTGAAAATTAATGGTGTGCCCAGAATGCGAAATTGTGCTAGTTTGCAAGACTTGGCTAATTTATAATGCATCATTTTAGTGACAAACAGGAGAAATTAAAAGGACGTGGTTTTTTTCATTGTTGTTGTTGTTTTGGGGGATTTTTTTGTTTGGTTGGTTTTGGCTTGCGGGGTTTTTTGGGGGTTTGGTGGCGGTTTGGGGTTTGTTTTTTTTTTGGCTGTTTTTCCCTTTAAGATGGACACGGCAGTCAACACATTTGGAGAAATCTCATACCATGTTGATTGAGTAATATCAGCTAGAACCACAACTTCTGCTGGCAAAAGGGTCATCTAGAAAGTTCTCTTTTTGATGTAGATGCTGAACAGATTTATATTTTGAATGGGATATATGTCCCATGGTGATTTGAAATTTAATAGAGAAATACAGACTTTGGATAAACAACATTGTTTCTGTCTTGTAATTTCAGCCTGTAGCAGCATTCTCTGTGTGTGGGTACAAACACTGGTATCTAGGATAGATATTAAGTACATAATAGTATTTGTTAATTCATACAGTTTTGTGGTATTATGTCTTGCAATTAGTTGAGACATGTCTCAACTTGAAATCAATTCCCAAACAACAACAACAAAAATTATCAAGGGTACTTAAAAACTAGTTGGAAGTGGGTGATCGTACTCTTCCATTAATTAGGAGAAAATCAAAGAGATGGTGGAATGTGTGCTGCAGAAGCACCAGTGACTGCAACAAATAAACTCAAATCAACAAATAGCTAATTAAGTAAACTTAATTATTTCCTACAATGTATTCTTGAAAGATAAGAGGAGCACAAAGTATCTACAACTTCCAGAAGAGAGGGAACTGAAACAGTGGAAGATGCTGGAATATTTCAGGACTTGGTCAGGGCACTGGGCTGTGCCTGACACAGAGGCAGACGCACAGACACAAAGGGTGTCCAAGTTGAAGATTATCAACTCCAGTGTTAGCTCTGGCTTTTGAGGAGACTTGGGGTGTTCCATAATACTGGGGAGATGTAAATAACTGAGCTACTCATTAACATTAACCAGTTACCTCCAGTCAAGTAGGTGTGGTCAAGTTCCCTAGAAAGAATCCACACTTACCAAGAATCCATGCCTGCCAATCCTCTCATTTTCCAAACTGCAAAAAACCAAACAATAATAAGGCCCCGAACAACCATTAGTCCAAAATTTTCACTTCAAGTCAAAGGATGGATTTGACTTTTGATTTTTAAAGGACAACTATCATGGCTTTTAAGCAATGATCAGTAGAAGAGATGAATAGCACACTTAGAATATGCATGATTTATTTGGCAATGCCTATTAGTTCTTTCTGGAGAAAATCAATAATAATTCTCATCTCTTTGTCAGTGGGAATTTAATGTAGGCTAGAACGTCACTGAGAGTTTTATTCAGATGGAAGTCTACTCAAAACAGAACAAAAAAGATGAGTTTGAGAAAAATGCTTAATAAAATGCTTAAATGAAAACTACTCAAGACTTGACTGTTCATCAGAAGAACATTACTTAACTTACTCAGCATTGCTGTACCAGAATCTGGCAGCAAGTTTTAAAAAGGAACCCTTTTTTCTTTCTTTACAGTCATAATTTATAACAGCTAAATTACTGGCTATAAATACTCTTTTCTTTCTACTAATGTATTATGCTCCTGGGATTGTTCAGAGCAAATATTTTGTTACTAAGAAAATAAGCTCCTAAACTGAGGCTTCTGGGGAAAAAAAACACATTCAAAGTAGCATCTATTCAAAGAATATCACTGTGCCATCTTAACAGACTAAATTTTATTTTCACTAGTAATAAAAAATACTGAAATTTCTCACTAAATTTAATTTTTAAAGATAGCAAGCTGCTGCTTGCCATATACTGTAGCATATTTATGCATATACCAAAATTCAAGGTTCTTATTCAATGAAATATAAAAATTCAACCAAGATGAGTTAGCAGAGGGAGTTTGCTAGATAAGCAAAATATATTCCTAAAAATATGTGATCAAATTATGGAACATAGAGGATAAAGATTTAATATACATAATGATACACATGGAGGCATTTTTCCTCACATACTGTGCACCTTTCTTTAAACAAAACAAAAAAACCCTACCAAAAATCATCTGAAAAACTGATACTAGCAAGATTTGAATTTTGTTGGGTTTTTTGATATTGCCCTGATAGATAATTAACATGAGATTATTTGGGACATTGATATGTGATAGTGCAGTTATATATAACTCTATATGCCTTTTATAATCAGAGAGGTTTTGTGTCCCAAACAGGCGTTACCTGATCACAAATACGACACAAGGCGGGCTCCGCTGACTGCGGCGCTTCCGTTCTGCTCCCTGACACACAAAATCTCACATATCACAGTTCCCCTATGTTTTTACACCTGGAGAGGCCAGAGGGAGGACGTTTGTGAGCACAGGACGGCACAGTACTGTGGGATTTGGCTCTGGTTCTGGGAGAGATCCATGCTGTGATGCTCACAGCCAGCCGGGCTGGAAAGATACAGGCTTCTCACATTAACACTCCATGAGCTGCAGCAAACAGAGCTACCAGATTAGCTGGCTCAAATTGTGTCATACTCTTATTTTTAGCACACTATTATGCCTCTGGGATATATTTTATTTATTAGAGAATTGGACCAGATAAATAGATGTTGTAGCTCTTTTCTAAAAAAGGGCTTTATGCAACTTGCTGTGAGGTATTTAAAAGACTATATGTTTTGGGGAAGGGGCAGAATGAATGTGTGAGGCAAATATAGTAGTCCTGAGCCACTTCTGGGAAATTACAGTTAATTTTTCAGGCAAACAGAGACCTAAAATAGATCCAAAAAGGCTTTTTTTGGGTAATTTTTAGACAGAAAAAAAGAGGTTGTCCCAACATTTCTCTAATTTGAATCAATATTATTAAACAGAAAAAGCAAGAATTTGCTGGAGAACTTGGCAAAATACGTCAGCAGCAGTTCGGCATTTCCCAAAGGACTGACAGTGTCTCTAATGGATCCAGCAGTGAGCTTCAGGTCTGCATCATGTGGGCGCTCCCGTCCAGGGGAGCTACAAGTCCCTACAAAGAACACAAGAACTGTAATTTGCATGGCTTAAGTTGTTCAGTGTCAGCACAAAAAGCTGAGTTCTGCTTCCCCAAGCATCATCTTGGAAAGCTGCCCTGGTTTATTGGCTACATGACAGGGACTCTAAGAGAGCTTGGAGAACAGATGAGAGCATCATCTTGATGATGACACCAGGTTCAGTTAGGGACAGCTAACTGGGAGAAGCTAAAATTAAGAAAAAAAAGGAAAAAGATATTTTATCACTTACTTCATCAAGTAGTGTTGACAAGAAGTGACAAAACTACACAGGGAAGATACTGGGAAATAAAGCAATTTTGTGACATCTTGGGTATGGACTGTGCTGCAAAGAAAGAATAGAAACAGGGAAGGACTGCAGTCACAATGCTAAGGAACAGAGGGAGCACAGAACTACAAAAACTTTTGTCAAGAGAATTTCATACCCAATTATTGTCACAGGACTCTCAAATTTTATTTCCTGCTTTCTCCTGTCAGAATGCCAGTTCTCACATGACCTCTATAATTTTTTAATCCTATCAATGAAATTGTCTTTCCTTCAATTTCATTCTTTCCTTCAATTGTCTTTCCTTTTCATTTTCTTCCCTTTCCAGGCAGATGATTTGCCTGAGAAGTTGAAATTGTTTCATAAGAAAACTGACCATGAATAGTAAGTTTTCTCTTACAGAGATGAACCAGCACCAGCGTGCCAACATCTGCAAGTCTTTGATTTTGTGACTATTACACTGGATGTAGCCCTCCCACACAGGATGTCACCCAGAAGCTTTTTTCCTTTTTCTTACCTGGGTGACAAATGGTTGGGCCAGGTGGCAGCTTTGAACACAGGCAAAGAACAGATGAGATGTACAAGTGTGGGATCCTTCGGAGATGCACAGCCTCTTCCGTGGGCTGCAGCTGCTGGGTATGGGCTGTCCCTTGGAGCGTGGATCACAATCAGCTCCTGATCTCACACCTGCTTCTGGCTGGGGCTAGCAACACAGTCAAAGTTCATCTGAACCTACCAGGCAGCCTAAGAATTCACTGGTTATTTTGTTACTTAACAAATCCAGGTGTTCTTATCAGCTCAGCAGGGCTCTTTTCTGCATAATAATTCCAAAATCCTTTGATTTACCTGCCCTCCCTGCCACTGACTATGATCAGAAGGGTAGGTGGCAGGGAGCAAAACCTGATTCAGCAGCAGCTATTGCTCATTTTCTTGTCACTCTATAGGTCACTGGCTGGCAGAAATCTCTGTGGAAATGCATCTAAAAATATTTTGAAACCTTGGCCTCCACTGATGAGAAAATTAAGTGGTGACTCATGCTCCCATCAGCTCCAGACTCGATTACTGCAATTTGGGGGACTGATGCTCCACCGAGACTGCAATTTGTTTAGGGGAGCAGCAGAGAGGCCTCATTGGCATTCATTGTTTCCAACACATCTCTCTTGTCCTTTTAATCACTAATAAATTTAATTTCACTTCTCACTGAAGATCTCTCCACCTTTCTGGCAAGAGGAACAATCCCAAGGCTGCTTTCATGACCTCTGCTGCAGCTTTAGATGCCGGCACAAAGCAGACTTGCCTGGAGCAATGCCTCCAACCTGCATTTTTCAGCATCCTTTCTCTAGTCCTTCACAGCTTGTCCATGCAACTCCAGAAGATTCCTTACCAGCCCTCAGGGTGTTCTCTGTTGAATGAGAATTTTACAGGAACAGGACACGTCAGCTTGGAGGAATTTAAGTCAAAATGCCTCCTCATAGAAGCCGCAGTCTAATGATCACAAGCAATAGTGTGGTTGAAGTAAGAATATGGCAAAGAAGAGACCACATCCCTCATTCCTCCCCTGAGCATCTGACAGGATGCTGGTCTGGGAGACTGGGGCTACCTCATGGAAATAGGAAAAAAGATATTTGGTTTGTAAGATGCTGGAAAGGGCAGGCCATCAAATCTAAAGTAAAATACTCTTCATTTAGTCTCATCATGTGCTACATTATCCCCGAGCTTTGTTAGAACGATGGCAGGGCTCTTCAAACAGCTTCCCTGGGGAGACTGCTCTGCAGCTTAACAACCTTGCACTGGAGATGTGCAAATGTAACCAAGGGCAGAATTTAGTCTCTTGTCTATTTAACGTGCTTGCTAGGGACTGCCTGTGTTCCTAGCACTTTATAATAATAGTAATATAAATGCATTTGGATTATAACCAAATGGAGAAACTATGATTTAGCCCTTTACTGTGTTGTAATTCCCAAATGCATCAACATCTATTTAAGTGCAAAACAGTCGACATTTTACAAATACAAAGCCGTGATTGTCTGCTTTAAGGGTTCCGTATGAGATTATGATTCAATACAAAACACAATTCAGTGTCTGAAATTTCATTTTTAATGGCAGAATAACATAAAAAAAAGGTAGTTCTTTCTCCATATGTAGTCTTGCAAAAAAAAATGTATCCCAGGGACTTGGTCCTTTCTAGTCATTTCTACATATATAACTGCTCATCTCTTATGCATGTATGAACTCACACATAAATCAATGTGCTTGCAGACAGACCATATTTCATCTTGCCTTCTAACCTCATGCTGTCAAGATATTTCCACAAAAAATGTAACAAATAAAACTAACAGCTCCTTTTTCCTTGACTGCCAGAGTAATGTAGGGGACTACTCTGTACAACCAAGCTCCTTCTGCTCTGTGAACAAGCACAACTGCGCAGCTTCTGCTGAGACTGCCTTTCTACCACATAACCTGCTCACACTAACTAAAGGAACAACGAGAAAAAACACAACCACATCTTTGATTTTAACTACATTAAAAAATTGTTTATCTTGATAAGTTACTGGAATCATCAAAAGCTTTTCAATTTAATGCACAAAAAGGGAAATAAAATGTTTCAGTAATTCAACACAAAGGGCTAACATTGCCCCTGACCTCTGAAGTGCTGTTTTATTGTTTGGGTGGGTTTTTAAACTCTGCTGTCACTGGATGGGATTATAGAGATGCAGAAATAGAAAATGTTGATCATGAAGAAAATCTTCATGTTGTAACATGACCAAAGTTCTCATTTGCCATCAGTTTTGCCTGATTATGTTTAATATCAGTTATATTTAAAGCCAAGAAGTTGAAAAGATTCAAAGTTGTTCTAATCCTTTACTGAAAAACTATTTAGGTTCAATGAATTAATTTTCAATTGATGAGAATTAGCAGCATTCTGAGGACTTTCTTTCCCCAAGTTCATTAAGTATTTCCAGACAGTTAATGGGCTTTTGTTTAAAAAAAAAAAAACAACAAAAACCAACAACAAAAATTTAAAAGCTCACCCACAAAAGAATAAAACATATAACAGAGATAAAAATGTGACCTAAAGGATAAATAATTTTATCTTGTTTTCTTTTTATCAAAATTGAATTCAAAACCATTCTGTTTATTAAAGACATATAACAAGTCATAAAACAAACATCTTAACAGTCTTAACAGAATTGATGTGCACAATTCAGTTTTATTAAGTATGAATTTAAAATATGTATTTCCGTTTAGCTTGATATTCCCTTTAGACCAACACCTCCAACACTCATACACAATATTTAAGCTGCCCAAAAGCAATCAACAAGGACTTTGTAAAGACTAACAAAAATACATTGTAAAACAGTCTGAAATATTCTTAAATGCTGGAAAAAAAACCCAAACAAACAAAAAACAAAGGATGTGTTCAATGGAATCTAAGCAAGTTGCTGGAAGTACCGAAAGGCAGAGATTCAGTACACAGAGGTAGCTCAGTAAGGGTACTTGCAGTGTTCCGATTATTTAGCATTGACACAACTTCAGTCAGCTAGTGTCTGCTTGAACTCCTGCTATGTATTTTAAAATACAAGGGAACACTGCCTCTGGGCCTGTTATCTCACCATTCAAAACCAGCAGAAAGAGTCATTGATTTCAGTGGGATTGGGATTAAGTATCTGGATTTTTTTCTCTGGAAATTCATGTTTATGGAAGCAGAACATAAAGAAACTGTTTATGTTTCTGGATGCTGTCCCCTGTTAAAAGTGGGGATTTTAAACCCAGAGGAATTTTTTCCCATGTGGAACCAGTTACCACTTAGAATGCTTAAGGAAGTGGAACCTTGAATTTGGCCCAGGAACTCTCCAGTTCCTAGCAGGTCTGTTGGTGGATCTGCCTGCGCTATCTAGGGGTGCACTGATCAAACTGTGAGCTCACTGCCCAGTGGGAAGAGAGCAGAGCCCTGGGTACATGGGCAGTGCACAGTGTCCTTCAGCCCTCTTGCCTACTCAGCAGGGAGAGCTTGATCCCCCTTCCAGGGAGGGAAAGAATTCATCATGTGCCACCTCCCATAACTTTGTCACATGGTCCTTTTATTGGTGTGCCAGTTCTGAACAGGGCGATGCTGTCAGCTCCCCACAGTTTCTCATACAGATGGCAACAGGGAGTGGCCATCAGATTAAGCACCGAGCATTGGTACCAGATTACTTTTTTCCTGTTGCTCACAGGACTGGAAGTAACAGACTAGGTAAACCAAGCACATTACTTTGTTTTTTAGTAAGGCAAAAGGATATTAATTTCACAAGCCTGTTGTCACATAGAAGATCTCCAGTTTGTGTAAAGGCTTACAGCCTTATCAGAGCTCTGATAATCTACATTTGCTACAGACTTGCTCCAAGGTGTTTGCATTCAGCCACACCTTTAGCTGCAATGTTAACCACGACACACACGGCAGCTCTGCATTTATACTGATTCCACATTGACCTATTCCTTTCCTTACTTCATATTTTAAGGCACAATTGTCAGCACAGTTTTTGCAGATGGGCACACGCCCCAGTCTGGACTGGAGCATGTTTCTGAAATCTTCATCTCTCAGACAAGATGTAGTGCTGGCTGCATGTTTAAATATGTGCCTGCATTCCTCTCTCTTCAACACCTAGAAACAGTATTTTGTATTCTTTTTTACCTAAGTTTATTAGAAAGAGTAATAGTATTTTTTAAAAAGTTGTGATTGATTGTCAAATGAGTTAAGATAGCGTTTCTGTTACTATAAGGATCCTTTCAATTAGCAAAAAAAAAATAAATTGTCAACTTTCTTGTCCTCATAAGCTACTATTCATTACCAATGCAGCAACAGAGAAAACATAGCTTGTCTTACTACAATAAAGGCTCTGTTTCAGCATCCTAAATTCTCTGTGCAGGTCTCTGTGCATTGCACAGGGGGAAGGAAAAGAAAAAAGAATACCAAAAATTCGTGTTCTTCAGGGGTAAATGATAAAAAGATCTCCTAGCTGCAAACACAAATACTTCACTCATAACCCAAGCACCAGACCATTTCTTTTGAAGAAGCTTATGAGGCATTTAAGATATACAATGGCACAATATCATACAATGGAATTGAAAGAATTTTCTTGAGATACCATTAACTTTGAAGGAATGTCTAGACAACTGTGTCAACAAATGCAAATAATTCATGCTTTTCAGCTTCTATCCATTGGATGGCCCCATGCTGAGTATACACAAACTCAGAAGAAAAAGGCATGTCACAGTCATATGACTAGGGAGTGTAACAGAGTCACACAGAAATTCAAGTCAATCTCAGAAAAAAAACCTTCAGAAAGCTCTTCCCCAAGAGAAGAGCTGGTAAGCCAGCAGTGGGATAGGCTCCTGGTCATTTTGGCTAGTTTAAAACAGAGACTTGCTGCTGGTGCACCCTGGCTTCAAAGCAGGGGCAATGGAAGAACCAGCTGTCAGTCATGACCATTCACTTGGTTAGAAAAATAAACTAAAGGACTCCAAAATACTGTACAACCTCTTGCAGCAACCAACAAAGTGGCTTCTGAAAACAATGCTTTTGCCAAAAATGCATCTGTAAGGCACTTAACAGGTATATTTTAATATATATATATATATAGATATATATAAAAAAATAAAATATGCACTAAAGCAACTTTCACAAAACCCAGCTGTGTCAATTGTCCATGTGTACAGTATAGTACATAGATACATCCACTGTGACACAGGCCATCTCCACAATTATACTTTCAGGGGTGCTTTGGGCTGCCTGGTTAATTTCAGTGCCTGTGAACAGGAAACAAAAACAGTCACTTTTTTATGCCCTTAAAAGACAGCAACAGCACAAGGTAAGAGTCTCATTTATAAAGGGCAAGAAAACACTGCGTGTACTTCTGAGCGGCTGAGCAAGGAGTCAGCGTGCAACTGCCAGGCTGTGGGTTCTGAGATGATCTTTGTGCTCTCATAGCCCATCACAACCTCCACTTACACAGAGAGCCTTAACAGAGGAACCACAAGGACTATGACTACAGTGGCAGTGAAGGAAGCAGAGATGAGTCTCAGTTGCCTTTTACAAAGTGACCATTTGGACCCCACTCAAACCACCCGTGGCACAGATAGAAGAGCTTCAGACACACTTAAGGAAAGACAGTGAAGAAAATTTGTGCCAACACCTTTGTGTCCCTGGCTTCCTTCCACATAGCTCAAAGCCTGCTCAGAGGAAATCACTGCTGCAGTGATTTCATGCACCTTTGATGTTTATACCTTCCTTTCTGAGAAAAGGTATGAAATAGGCAAAGTCCATCAGTCCAGAGGTGATCTTATGGCAGGGGACACCTGACATCTTTGTAGCTCCATTGCTGCTGAGGAAGAAAGAAACCCCTTTCCTTTTTGATGGCAGGGTCCAGCTCTGTGTTCCTCACAGGGCTGGCCAATTATGGTAGCTGAGCTATTTATTTAGTGTGTGACAGAAGTTCAGCTCGGTGCTCATGCTTCCAGTTTGGCAGGAAGCAGCCTCTCTAAGTAAGGAGAGAAACTTGATAGGCTCAGAAAGCATTAGGTTTTCAGCTGCTGCTGTACAGCAGCGTGGGCACTGGGAAGGATGCTGGCTCTTGGTATGCTCAGCAGCAAAAAAAACTCTATGACCTCTTAGGTGGGACAAATTGGCCCAGGTGAGAGGAATTTAGACAAATTAGCAAATTCCTGAAATTTGGAACCTCCATTTTTCTGAAGGAAGTCTTTTGGGTGAAGAGCCCTGTCAGACTGGCATTTGTCTGAATTCTTGTTTCCAGCAGGTCGGCTAAACAAGCAATTTTCAGTCTGAGAGACGCCTGATGGGGCTTCTTATTGTAGATATTAACCTTTAATATTGTACACTTAAAGCTTGTAAGCACTGCTTGAAAATCACTGCAGCACAAATGTAAACCCTTAAAAAACCCCTAAACCTTTAAAAATAAATGGGATATATTCCCCTCAGAAACACCAGCATTTAACTATTGTTAAATCCAACCCTTTGAGATTAGTCTTTTGGATATTATCCAGCAAGAGACTTTGGAGAGCGAGACATCATTTCACACTTTTTTGCGGAAACAATTTTTTAACTTTGTAGTTTGGCAGATTCTGCTACCATATTTACAAAGTAGAAATACCTTAGTGTAGATGAACCTCTAAATATTTAAATTCAATTTCATACAACCTGATCACATGTACTATCATAATTAAGTAAGAATGTCACTGCAGTTGAGTACTGTGACTGGATAACTGCCTCCCCCTGCAAGAGAGATGCCAAAATGAAGCCAAGGTGTTTGTAGAAAATAAACATCAAGGGTGATGATGACATGTTTATTTTCAAAGCAGGAGACCATTATCCAGTCACAACATTCACTTCTATTATACTTATTGCAACTGTACCACACCCAACCTCATTGATTTTTTTCAAAGAGTAATTAAAATAACATTTGTGAATAATACAGAAGACCAACTGAAGAAACTGCAGCAACAGAACAACAATCCCCCAAAGTGGTTCTACAGTGGCATTACAGTCTGCTTAGCACAGGAGGTTTATTTGATGCTTAATGAATAAGAAACTAGTGCTGGTGAACTGTAAATCTCTCCAGTACTGGTTGATTTTTCTGATGCTTTGTTTAAAGGCTATTTTAATTTGCAGCAGTTGACAGCAGCCCCTGAAGGCCATTACTGCCCTGAGAATCAGGGAGGTCTGAATGAGCTCCAGCCCCACTCCTGAAATGCTGAAGAGAAGTCAGCATTGCAGGGATTGTTCTGTCACAAGCAGCATAAACTTTAGGCTGTCTTCTACAGGAATAGCATGAAATTTTCTTTATACCACCTGTAAAGTCTCCTGATAATTTCTGATTAAAAGAAAAACCATGATTTTCAGACTGATGGATAATTGCCCCTGGATTTTCAGATTTTCATTTTCAGACACTCAGACCAGTATATATTAATCAGGTCTGATTTCTGAACACAGTTTCTGAAAACCGAGAGTTTCCCTGCTTTTTACAGTTCAGATAACACATGAAAATAACTGATTTGAGGAATTTTAGCATTCAAGATAGCGAGGTTACTTTAGTGGTGTGAAGCTGTAAAATGACAGCCACTGGGGTTTTGCTGAAAATTGAAAATATGAGTGTTAGCAATAAAATTTATCCACTGCTAAGTGAAGAATGCAGGGTGCTGATGGAGCTGGGCTGCCAAAGGTTGCTTCAGTTGCTGCAGCTTCTTGATCTTTTATTATCTCAGAACACTAAAAGACAGCATTAAATTCGATTTCGTGGACTAGCTTTTTGCAGGGTGGTTATTCTGAGAACCTGACTAAAACCACTGCAATCATTTCACATAGATCACAGACTGGCTGTCAGATGTCAATACCTTCAATTTATACTGAAATAAGCATAGTTTGAATCAGTGATGTTGATTCCATATCCTCTAGGTTATAGTCTATAATCCTACAAGTTATCATGCCTTAATTTTGGCATGAAATGGGATAACCCAGACTGCTGTAGACTTCTTGCTACTGTAAATGGTGACATAAGTGTTGGGGGAAGGACAAAAGAAGTTTTCATCCTGCTTCAATCCAGTTCAGAAAGTGTCCTTATTTTACCTCATTTCCCCAGATCCCATGCCAGCCAACATATCTTTGTCACTTCTCCATAAAGGAGCTCCAAAGCTGTGATTATTAGTCAGCTAATGGATGGAGACATTCTTATGGGGCATATTCTGAATTCATAATTTGAATGAATTTGTAACTTGAATTAACTGTAGAGGTCTAACTCCATGCTTTGAACTTTTCCAGAGTCTTTTTAAATCCCCTTTTCAAGCGGGATAAAGTTCTGCACTTTTATTTTGATACTGCTGTGATTATCACTGTTATAGAGGAAGCAAGGAAATAGAAAAATTCCAACCACAGAAGGAACCCCAGGAGTTTAGGACATGTGTTTAGGTATTTTTCCTCTCACAGTACACTTGCCATTATAAATCAAATCCAGCAGTCCTTACCTTTTGCCTAGAAACCATCCAGGATTTTATCGTTGGTACCAACAGACTGCCAAGAAGGATCTGAGCAGGATGATAGATGAGCAAAGGGACAGAAATTAAGGACAGATGTTCATAACCTGCAAATACTATCTTCAGCATGGGAATCCCTGCAGGCAGAAAAACAGGACACAGACTCTCACCTCAGACTTTGAGCTCCAGATAAAAGCAAAACATTTTATGTTACACTGACATTTAACAATAATAATAAAAAAAGAAATCCCAAAAAATCCCAAAATGAACTGAAATGTTTTATATATTAAAAATCCAACCCAAATGAGCAAGAACATGAATACAAAAAATACATGGCAGAGAAAGTTCTGTGGCAGAAAGGGTGGAGTAGGGAATGCCATAAAAGATCTTTTCTAATTATGCAAATATTGCAGTAAATAAAAACTGCTGCTGAAGACTTGATGTACAATACATTCTGCTATAGCATGGCTGTTCAGTTGCTGACCATAGTTCTGTACTGCTTTTTTACTACTTCCTCTCACTGGGCTGTTCTCTGTTTGCATGATTGTCCTCCATCCAACCTGCCTAACTCCTGCTTGTAATCTTTGCAACCTTTCTTTGGTCTGTTCTCAACTGGAGGAGGGTCATGTTTTGCTTGTGCATTCCCTCCAGTTGGTGAGCATCCAAATGAGAGCCTTCCCTGCTTTGGCTGGCCCATGAGACAGAAAAGGTTTAGTCAGCTGGGTGAGCAGTATGAAGTGATCCTGCCCACAAAGAATTAAACAGCAGCTGGAGTACAGAAGTTGCTAGATGCTGCAAGGAGTGCTAAGACCTAGAGATGGGCCATTTTTGCCAAGAGCTGGAATTTGAAAACAACAGAGCTACTTCTACCAGACACCTCCATGCACGATCTTCCTGTTTGATGATGTGATATGTACAAACAAGTTTTATTCACTTCTGCAGTAATGAAAACAATTATGCCTACTTTGAGCATATTACTGTTCAAAATTATCTGTTTAAATCTTGGAACTTTGCTGTCATGCTCCACAAAGTGCAGGTGTGGACAAAACCTGCAAGGAGTTCTGTCTTGCCTGACCAGATATTTGAACAGCTGCCAACAAGAGCAGCTGTGATTCCTCAGGAGCCTCCTGAGAATGCACCTTATTTTCTCCCTCATCTTAAATGTCACTCTAGGAGTCCTCTGCCAGCATCAACCTTGAAGTGAAGCAGACTACACGTGGTTTTCACAGAGCTCATCTGAGTGTCTCACAGAATCACAGAGTGGTTTGGGTTGGAAGGGACCTCAAAGACCATCTAGTTCCAGCCCCCTGCCACAGGGACACCTTCCACCAGACCAGGTTGCTCCAATCCCCATCCAGCCTGGCTCTGCCTTGTCTCCTTTCTCAGCAATGACAAAACATTGAGCTTTGTGCCACATACCCTCCATTTCTCCAGGAGGAGATGTGTCAGATCAGCCAAAGCTGTCATATTTATGGAAACTTTTTATCGTGGATAAACTCCCATTCTCAACACCATTTCAGGTTTCCTTTAATAACACTGACCCCTCCCTTTGTGAGCAAACAGCTTATTTGTCAAATATACTACTTCACCAGTGCCCCACTATTGCTGACATGTGTCTGGGCTTGCTGAAATCTTCATGATGTTTCACAGTACCATTTTTTGTAATTAATATTATTATTAGCTTCATCACATTACACCACTAAAAATCTCATGCCTATGCTAGCAGCCTTTACCTATGGGTGTTTTTGCAGGGATGGATTAAATCAAATAAATAAAGGCTTGCATGCTTTATTTCAGTATTATAATTGCCTTCAAAACAACATCATGGATCTATCACACAACTGCTTATTATTAACACTAATTTCTGGGGCTTGGGAATAAATAGTATGTAGATAGAAATTAAATGTGCATTACCATTATATTAAGGCACGTAATTTACCTCAAATGCCCATCATACTGTTTTTATAAACAGATAAAGGTTTTATTGCCTGTTTCCACATCTCAAACTAACCGTCTTGGGTCCTTTTCTATTTTCTAATCACAGAAAAATACACTAGAGTCTCAAGCTATGAACATGCTGTATTTCTGTTTGTAAAACAGTACCTGGTGTTTTGGTAGTGCAATTTCATCCACAGATCCAAAAACATTTTAGAAAGCTGAAGAGGGTTCCTACAGAGAATCAGAAACACTACAGTGACTAGCCTAAGATCACAACGAAAACTAATGGCAGAGATGAGAACAGAATGCATCCAAAGTGACATGCTTTAGATAACTGTATATTTTCTGAAAGAAATAAAATAAATTACACCTTAAAAGGTAAATTCTCTAGAGGAAAGCTATTTCTGTAAACTAGGAAAAGAAAATTAAAGTTGTCAAATATAAATACAAAATACTATAATTAGTGTGACAATATAATTAGATCGCTGGATAGAAAGAGGTTCTTAATTCATAGCTTGTTTAAATACATGTCACAACAACAGGTTCTTGGAAGCTACTAATATGCAATTAAAGTTCCTATTATTTACCAGGAAATGCTAACTGGTGAAAAGAAGAAATAATAAGCATTTTTGCAGGTAAGGACTAGTCTAATGGAAAGAAAAGAAACCCAACCTTGTTGCCTTTTCATGCACTTCCTGATCTTTATAATTCCAAGTTTGCCAGTATGCAACTCTCTCAGAAAATATTTCGTGACAGAGATCCCCATAGTGTAGTCACAAATGCTTGTGTCAGTAACATTACCACAAAGCTGAACTAAACAGCATGAGTGTTATTTATTTTTTAAAATGCCATCTAAACTTTTTAGTAGCAATATGTAGTAGCTGCAAGCACCAGTATGACTGCCAATGTTTTCCGAACATATAAAACCCATGCAAATAACTAATTAGGGAAAACATACTCTAATAGTTACTTCTACCTCTTTTAAAATGAAACACAAAAACAACTACATTTTTCTCAGATATATATACATATATATGTATATAAATATAAATATATAAACACTTGGGAGAAAAACAAACACTGAAGGCTCATGTCACAAACACCCATTCATGCTGCTGTGGTTTACTGAGCAACAAGCTTCCAGCAATCTAGTTCAACTCTCTGCCAAAGACCCTCACTCACTAGATATCATGAGACCTGAATAACACAGTTGTCTTCTGTGCTTTGGTGCTAAGTTGGCCAGCTTTGCTCAAAGTGGGGGTTTAGCAAGATTCCCATCTTCCTCCAAAGATAGGAGTGGGATGAGACAGCAGCACCTCACCTGACTAGAACTACAGAGAGCTGCAGCAGAACAGAGAAAAAACAAAGATTGTTCTACAGGTATCCCTTCCAAACAAGATCATTGGTATTCCCAGATTTTTACCCCAAATTTCCCTCTTCCGCTTTGTCTGGGTATTTTTCTCTTACCAGTGTTCCCCCATGTTCCCATCTTTCTCCTTGCCCTTTGGCCCTGGTGTTCAGAGGCTCTTTTTCTATTTGTGTTTTCTCCCTTCCTCCTTTTCCCTCCTCCATTCCCATGCTTTCAGTCTCCAAGGGTTTGCTTCCCAAGACCTTTGATTCTACTCCTTGCAGCCATGTAAGTTTTGGGTACTTCCACTAAAATCACTCAGCTTGGCTAAGGGCACCAACATCACAGTCCCACTGCAGCTGAGAGAAGAAGACCGGCCTGTAATAAGGAGCACATTTCAGTTTTCTCCCTTTTTTGTGTCCTCACTCAGCTCTTTTTTTTTCCACATTAAGCCCTTTGCAAACCTGAGGAAAGAAAATACTGTTTATCCTTGACCTTCAACAGCAGCAAGGAAGAGTGAGAGCGCTGCTCTTGTGGCATAGAAAGCCCTCTTTGCTCTCCATGGCTCCAGGGTGTTCCAGTTTGGCTCCAAGGCTGTAGGTTATCAGCCCTGGCCAAAGGTCACTGCTTCTCTAAGAACCTGCTCAACTGAAAGCTACTTAATCCTTCCCCCAGTTTGCACCCAGTATAGCCTCCCACATCCTCCCCTTTCCCCTTTGCTACTTCCACATTTCCTAAAAGGCCCATGAAAACATTATGCTGCACTTCACTACATTTAGTTAACTGTAAAATGATAATAATAAAAAACCCTAAAAGATTTGAAGGCATTTTAAAGATAATTTAAATATAGGACTCTTTTCATCTAGCTATCACTGCAGTAATATAAATGAAGCAAATTAATTTTAATGCTCCAAGGTTCTGATTCTGTGTCACTGTCACTGACAGGATCCAACTAGACTTTATGAGATGGCATTTGACTTTATGGAAGTGAGCACTATGCACGCATTTACAATTTTACAGGGACTTTAAGCTGTCATGCTGAAAAATGTTTATAAAACATTAATCAAAAAATGCCTCTTTAATACAATGCATTGTCTGAAAGATGTTAGAAGGCACATATTGTAAATGGATTCTTTTTCTGACTAAAGTAATTTCTACCAAAAGCCTTTCCCCACTGCTATACAAGTACACAGTGTGGAGAGATAAAGAGCACTTTCTCAGCACATTACTACCTGATCCAAACACTTGGGAAATCACTAATGTACAGCATGCCATATTTCCATGTCACACATGACACATTTGTCTAAAATTACCCAACAGAGTTTGACATTGCAGCATATTCCTTAGCAGAGCTTTCAACTGACATCTGCCAAGTAAGAACTTCAAGTAGGAGCTTTCTTCCTCTAACAAGCAAATAAGAGTTTTCTTTTATCCTATACCCATGATGGAAATGATAAAACAATAAGTACTGGAAATCAGGGGGTTTTTTTTCCTATTTTAATATGTTTATTTTATGCTCGCTGGCTGTGTAAGCTTCTCTTAAAGCACTGTTTCATCATTTGCTGTTTTCTATCACATTGTAATGGGTTCAGAGAACTTAATAGAACATTTTTATTACCACCAAAACACAGGCCATTATCTCTCACACCCAAAGCAGAGTTATTGCTAGTGCTCTACTGCCATACTTCACTGTATAGGTTTTTTCCCTTCCATGTTTTCATAGCAAACAATTTATCCTATTGCCTACCTTAATTTATCCTATTGCCTACATTACTGAAACACATTCCGCATCACAAAAAGCTGCAGCATTTCTCCTCAGGAAAAGAGATTTGGGGCAAAACAGAGAGGTCA